ATCAAAAAGTCCTCCACGAAGGCAAATTTCTCCCAATACTTGATCCAGAAGTTCCCTTGTCTTCAGAATTGGGTTCAAAATTACAAGGCTACGGATATGAACAATGGCAGTCGTAAACTGAAAATTCAGTTGGCTGTTCAACGACGGTTATAAAATAAAATTTAGCCTTATCGGACTTTGGCTCCCATTTACTCGGCGCCCTACGCAGCCGCTTACCAGGCTTATTCCTCGGGGCGGCCCTGTATTTGAAAATAGTCGAAAAAATTTTAAATTGAAAGATATACAATTTTTTATATCGTTTTAAAGAATGTAATGTTACATGGCAAAATACGAAATTTAAGCAAAAAAAAGCCGAATAATTCCTGATAAACCGATTTGTAAGCATCTGACTTTTTTTTAAATTAAATTTCTCAGGAACTATTAAAGCGATTTCGCTCAAAGCTTGTATTTTTCCATGTAAAATTACAATTCCTTAAAATTATGTATAAAATTGTATACCTTACAATTCAAATAAAAAATAATAAATATTTACTAAAAGTTATTTTTAGCATAGAATTATCTTTCAGTAAACGAATTTTATAATTGTGCGCAAATATTTTTCAATTTGCTTAAAAAGTTATTGAGATTTAGCGAAATACCAAAAAAGTAAAATTAGCATTAGGGGGTCCAAACTTGGGAGCCCTCTCCAGACCAATAATGGGATCACATTTCCCAGATTGCGGCTACTCTCATATTTTGAAAGTCATTAAACCGATTCCATCAAAAAAATTGTATGTTTATTCAGAGAAAGTACGTTTTTGTGTCTAATTTTGTAACCTAAAATACCGTCTGCATATTTGAAGTCACCCCCTCGAGCTATTAAGATGAGTCCTAGAACGTGAAAATCCGATCATTAGGGGATCAAAAGTTATACAGGAGGTCTATTTTTTTTTTCTTTGGTGCACTACAATCGCATTCGCATTTTAAGGTGTAAAGAAAGTTTTAAATTAGCCATTATTCATAATGGCTAGTTTAAATATTAGTAATGCGTAATTCTAAATACATACTTATTAACGCTCAGCGACCGGTTCATTCTCATAGCGTTCTTTGACGAACCCAGATTCGCGAAAATTTGTACCTATACGATTCAAAAAATTAGCTGCGTTTGAACCTTGTTTTTTACTAAACAAACGTTAAAAGTCGATAATAGGAATCGCTACCATTGCTTTTTTGCATCGTATTACATACTGCACTATTTTTCTTATAAATAAAAATAGTACACTACACTACAAACTACGAAAAAAAGTATCAACCTCTATAGATGGTTTTAAAAATCGGTATATGTATTTATTTCGAAGTAGAAATTTCAAAATTATTACAAAAAAAAATGAAGAAAAAAATCAGTCGAAGACAGAAAAAAGTTCATTATATTCAACTTCTTCACTTTTTTGGTTCACTATATCCACAAAAAAATAACATTATGCGTGTATAGTAAGACACAGGACCAAACATTTCGTTCACTATATCCGGGAGTTCACTATAAACCGTGTTCAGTATAGCGGGGTTCGACGGTATTATTTTGGCTGCTTAAACGCATTATAATTTGCGGTGAACAGATGAATTTTTATTGATATTTTATACGTGAATTTTTGACAATAACGGTGGTTTTGTTTTAATGTTCTTTTTATTTGAATTTCGCTTATCTCCCAATCGAAGGGAAGCGATCAACGACGTTTATGGCTTGTCTTTATTTTGATCTTCATTTAGATCACTGGTTGTGATTTTTAGCTTTCAAATGAAGCTTACAGTGAAAACTGTATTAAATTATTTTATCAAAACCAAAAAGAGTTTACTTGTATGTATGTCACTGGTTTAATTATATTACATCTTCTAGATAATAAATTCCTCAATCACAAAACACCCCCCATGAAAAAACTATACCTACACTCTTGGTATCAACTACAGTAATTTCGCTAATTGATGCGCTCTACTTTCAATCTTAGAGGAGATATTGGGGATCTAAAGTTTAATAAAATAAGCTCACATACACACACACACATAAATATTACAGCATTTTACATTCATTCACACCTCACACAAATTTATCGTTTCGTGCCTTTGTGATCGATTAGTTCTAAATTTTTAGCTCTAAAATTAGAATTGATCCATTAAGACATTCATGTCCACAAATTAACTTATTTTTTAAATTTTTTTTAACACTTTTAATATAGCAAATGAAAGTACAAAAAGCAATTTTTGGTAAAGGCAGCTTATTGGTCAAACACGAATTTTTGTGAATTAAAAAGCTCGACGATAATATTTATATAAACTAATATCGAGAGTTGATTCTTTGCCTTCTACTACCTCTCGTAGTCTTGCTTTCCCTTTCTCACATGAGGTATGGGTGTCACATTAGATTTGTCTTTTCTGCCTCTTTCTCTCAATTCATTTGCAAAGGAATGTTTTTTAATCTATGTGGTTCCTAAGTGAGGCCATCGCAAGGGACTAATTGATGCTCATGGAGGGGTGGACTTTGAGTCCCCATCTTGTAGTCTCCACCATGTAAAAGGGGGGGGGCAACCACAAATGATTTGTAGTTAATAAACTTTGTGGTGGATTATATTTTATTAATGGATTCAAAGTTTGTGTGTGGGCATAATGAAACCCTGAGAATGTACTCCACGTATGCAGAGGATGAAAATATTTAAACATTACTAACCCAAGGAAGGTGCCGATTAAAAGCTTCCTCAATTTTTTTTTACCTAATCGTATTTATTCCTCTCGATATTAAAAAAATTGTTAGCGCCAATGTTTTGTGTTCTCAACTTAACATTACATTTTGTTTTGCTAAACAAAAACTATGAGACTTAAAAACTTGAAATTACAGAAGTCTGTATAAAACTATACAATGATGGTAAAATAAAACGAATGCTGGAATTGAAAAAAAATTAACATTCAACAATTAGTTCGAGAATTATTAACTGCTAAACTTGCAGTAAAAAAAAAAGAAAGAAAAAAAGACACACGGGCTCATCTACAGCTGAATGAACAACATAGCTGAAATGGAACAACATAGAATGGAAAATGAATTGCTGAAATGAACAACATAGTTGAAATTTGACGAACTGAAATGGTCCTTTATAAACTTATCACAATTTTTTTTTTCAAAGTTCTAATTTGTTCGAAATTTATTACAATTTTTTCTTCACTTTTTTGGTTTTAAATAATGACTATTTATTCTTAGTTGTAGAAAAATTTCTTTCTTTCGAGATCTTTTGCCGAAACAGATGTTTTTTATCTCTTCATTCCTACCTACAGCTTATCTACGGAAAGAACTCCCCTCGCATTAATATATAAGTCAGCCTGTTGATACATGTAAACAGGAAATTGCGCATTTCAAAGAGGGAAACTTCTCTCTCCCTTTCCCTCAAACCTAAACTTGTCTTAAATATTGACCCAACACTTTCACTCGAAATAGTTAAACCTCGTAACCATTACCACCACTGCTTTGGAGAAATGGCGAGGGGAGTTCTTTCCATAGACAGACTCTAATAATTCGTATTTTACTGTTTTGTCTCTCGACAAAGTGAGGAGGATTATGCTGAAATAAGTTTCTTTAAATCAAATGTCACATTCACATGTGCACATTTATATGGTTTCTTCAATGTATTCAGCATACATTGGAAGAAGATGTTGGGCCATACAAAAATTTCATTTAGCATGTAGTTTGTAAATTAATAAGCCTGGTAGGACATGCAAACGTATGGATGTAAGGGAAGTATACTGAAGGCCCATCTTGGGCAATAAAACCTCCACTGCATACTTTGAAAAATATTTTTACTCAACAGAGAATTAGAATGAACATAGGCTAGCTATCAATTGAAGATTTTCCTTGTGATATTATTTGTATATAACTACACACCCAGACCAATGAATTGAAAACCTTAGATCTTATGAGAATATCTTATGAGCCCTAGATCTTATGAGAATATTTTATGAGACCTCCTCTTGCATTAATAACAGCTCAAATTCATGTAGGCATAGATTTTACAAACTTCTGGAGTACATTTATAGCCACAGTATACTGTGTATTCGTTACACAGACTTTAAGAACCTGTAAATTAGATAGAAGCTGTCAAACCTAGACGGATCTCATGATGGAAGCTAAAACAGATTGCTGTCAAGTGTATCTTGTCAGCTTGTCCCAAACATTTTTTATCGAATAAAGATTTAAGCTTTGCGGTGGTACGAGAAGGCATCAAAAGAAGATTGATGTTTATTGAATCAATTTTGAGCACATCTGGTGCTATTTATAGTTGCATTATTGTCCATGACGTGTACATAACATTTTGAATAAAAATGTAACATTACAGGAAGCACTTAATATGCCAATGCATATTGCACGGCTTTTTGTTTTGCCTCATGAAACATCAGGGTAACTCTTCCAAATCAACAAACTGCAAGATGATCCCACCAAACCTTTGAACGCTAACGAGCATTTTATAAAAAATCTCACAGGTTCCTAATTTTATTGGCCAGTGTGTGTGTTTATTTTAGATGGCATTTTCATGAATACCATATGCACCTAAAACTGTAAAAAGTAATGGCTAGCAAAGAGCAAAAAATTTCTAACAGACATTCAAATTATCAACTTTTCCTAGCATATTTCTATCACTTTACAACTAAAACTGAATGCAAGGATATTTTCATTTCAAATATATATATGATTTGCAATATAAGTCATAGTGGTTGCTATGATTGACCAATTAAATGAATAAAAATGAATTACGTTTCTACGCAATTATAATAATATTTTTATACACACAAGGCATCTCTGCATTTTGGATGCATATTAAACACTCATATTGTCAATTAATATTCATATATCAATAATGAAACTAATAAGACTAGTATTTAAAAAATAAATTTATTAAAATTGTCATTTTTTAAGATAAATTTTAATAATACAATTTTAAAAATATACAATCAATAAAAACTAAAATATTCGCTATTATCTTAATTATTGAATTTACAGACCAGACCATTTAATATTCAAAATCACATTAATAAGCTCATTTGAAAATGATGAAAAAATCCTTAAATAAGCTGATATTTAAAATCGTAAAAAAAATAAAACAAATTTGAAACCTTAGATTAAGGCTGATTCTTTACACAAATCATAAAATCTGGATTCTTTATTCTGTTGTAATTGTAAAGGGCTCCCAATTTCAAGAATCATTCCATTTTCCATAACTATGATTCTAAAAAATAAGTATATGAGAATTAATGTTTTATAAAAATGATGTATAGAGAAATAAGTTTGAAATAGAGAAATAAATATGAAATAAATAAAATAGAGAAATAAGTAGAATAAATGTGAAATAGAGAAATAAGTTTGAAATAGAGAAATAAATATGAAATAAATAAAATAGAGAAATAAGTAGAATAAATATGAAATAGAGAAATAAGTTTGCAAGACATCAGAGCTGAAAAGGAGAAGTTTAAACGTAGATAAAAGATGAAGAAGAAATAATCTGCTACTGCTGCTTTGAATTTATGAATGTACAAGTCACAGTGATTACATCAATTCAAACAGAGTAATTTTTTCTTTTAATTTTTAATAAATAATGTAGGTAGGGCAGCAAGTTTCAATTCTTTAATTTAGCAAAAAATTCTTATTGACAGAAATCATGTACTATTTTTAAGTGTTTACAATTTAGTATCAAACTTTCTTTTTATTATGAACTACATGAGTGTGAAAATTCTGTAGCTCAAAAAGTTTTTAGATTAAATAAACAATCAATTTAAACAAAGCATGAATACCCAAATAATAAGCCATTAAGAATCAGTTTAAAGAATAATATTAAAAACTATTAAATATAAAAAACACATATTTCATAATTATTACTTACTTATCATAATCAAGAACCGTATTTATTCTGTGAGCAATTGTAATGACCGTATAGTCAGCAAACGCAGTTCTGATTGTATTTTGAATGAGATTATCGGTTTCCATATCTACTGATGCAGTTGCCTCATCCAATATCAATATTTTTGTCTTTTTCAAAAGAGCCCTAGCTAAGCAAACCAGCTGCTTTTGACCAGAACTGAAATAAATGAATATCTTCTTTAAAATTTAACTTAATAAAATTAAAACATAAGTAGATAAAGCAATTTTTTGACATTCTTATTATTTTCCTTTTAATTGCAGCACTCCTTTGGAATTCCTGCCCATCACAGGAAGAATTTTAAAAAGTGGTCAGAAAAAGTACACTGGTCTTTTTCTTTTTTTTTTTTTGTAGTTGCAAATATAACTACAACTATTTTTTTTAAATGTAGTGATTATAAACTACTTTAAAAATATCATTACTTAACTACAGTTAGAATTTTAATTTTTCTGGGCTATTCAGCTTGCACTCAAGATCAAAATTTTAAAAAATGGAAGAATTTTAAAAAATGGCTTGGAGTAGTAAATGAGAAAATTCATTTTTTATGATATTTTCTATATAATCTTCAAATCTTCACCTTTTTATATCTTTCTCGACAGCAAATATTTATTACAAGAGACGCTAAAAAATAATCAAATGTTTATAATTCTATTAAGTTTTTAAGCTTAAACTAACGTAATGGGGAAAACTATGTAAAGTACAGTGAGAACATTTTCATTGTGTCCTCTGATGGACTTAGTGTAATATTGCTACCAATCAGATTAAAAAGAATTAGTTGTGTTTGAATCTTATTTCAATATTAAGTATTAAGTATTATTTCAATATAGCTAAAACGTCACTAAAAACAACTGTTTTCTTCATATTGTACTACTCACTACAGTACTTTTTTCAAAAAGCAGCACATTACACTACAAAAAAAGTAATGACTATGGTTGCTTCATTACTTGCAACGTTTTACTTCCGACTACAGATTGTAACATTATTTTATTACAAAATGAAGCCTCGTTCCTACAAGAACCAATTTATGGTTAAAACAGGATATTATGAGTATTTAGAATAAAAAATTTTGAAACATAATGGTAGCAGGCAGAGCTGTCAGCATTTCACACCTGCTACTATTACTTCCAAAACAAGGTAGTACCCATAAATTTAAAGACTTCATACTGCCATCAGAGATGGGTCTTACAAAATGACAGCTCAGTGCTTCATACATTGTGCCATCATGGCTCAAATAAAATTTATAGTCAATCAAAATGACAAGAATTGATTAAAATTCTCAAAACACAATAAGAACTATGATTTTGAAGACAGTACAAGTGTCAATGGTTTCCTGACCACTACAAAAAGAATTCATCATCATTAAAAATATTGAATACTTTTGGATTAATTCACCAAAAGAAAAAAATTATCCATTATATTTTATAGGAGAGCCCAATTGGGTTTTTACAGCTAATATATACACATTACATTTTGACTTAATATTTTTAATTAAAGAGAATATCTGATAAATCCATTTAATATTTATAAATTTAATCAAATTTTAATTTCAAAAAAATTAATGAGGTATATTTAAAGCTTTAAATGATACCTAAGATTGGCCCCATTTTCTTCAACAGTGTAGTTTAATCCTTCAACTAAATTTGACACAAATTCTTTCAAATGTGATCTCTCTAAACTCTTCCACAATTCCTCCTCACTATATTCATCATTGGGGTCTAAATTTGACCTCAAAGTGCCAGTAAACAAAACAGGATCCTAAAATTATTTAACAAAACATATTAAAATAAATATATTTAATATAAAACTATAGAAAGCAAGAAAAAACTTTATATTAATTATGAAGAATTTAACAACAATAAAGTAAATTAAAAGATTACGGCTTTACAAATTCAAAAAGGAGATATCAAAAAACATAAAGCTATACATAAACATAGATATTTTTTCTTCTCTTCCAAGTTATAAACTGGAAAAGCTAATACAAATGCTTAAAACAAGTATACACACATTGAATGACAAAAAAACATCACAAATTTTTAAGGAAGAGGCAAGTGTGCAAAATGTCAAAAAACTGATTGATTTTCAGAAAAAACAGAGATAAATTAAAAAGACGATTATTAGGAAGACTTTCCAGTTTTAACAAGTAATTAAACAAGCTTTGATGTTTATGTACCCACCTTCCACACTAGTGATTTGTCATATTTCGATAGCCTTTCTTGTTTTATTCGAGCTTAAATATTAATTAGGAATCCCAATGCCTTTCTCCACATTTTTATGTTGATATAAAAATTAAAGTTACCTGTGGAATTATAGTTAGTTTTGACCTCAAAGTATGCAGTCCTATTTGTGTGACATCAATGTCATCAATGAAAATGGTGCCTAACACTGGTTCAATTACTCTAAAGAGGGCCATTGTTATGGAAGATTTGCCTGCACCAGTTCGTCCAACAATTCCAACCTAAAAATACAATTAATACATAGTTTTTAAAAATAAATTTAAAAAATTAACAATCGTTTCTTTTCAAACGAATTTTAAAATAAGTCAAGTTTAATGGGTAAAAAATAATATCAGAGGTAGGATGCAATTCTTTGTGGAACTCAGAATTTGAAAACCGGACATTTAGTAAATTTCTTCCTCTTGCCTACACTCAAAACATTTGAATTTAAAAATAGATGAAAAAGAAAAAAATTATATAAAATTATATGCATTTGATTATATGCATATAATAAAATTTTTAAGAAATAAAAATTCATTATTTTAGTTCTAGAAATAGATTTGTATTCAGATATGTGACTCCATTATTGTTTACTCGTTTTAGAGGTGACTGCAGATTCTATAAGCACTATTTGGCTGAAATTCAGAAATAATTTACATTATAAATGAAATAAATGGATTTAATAATTGAATAATGGAAGAAAACACACATGATAAATTGGATAATTGAAGAAAGCAGATATGTTAAAATAGTGTGTGATATTGAGTCTATGTTCTTTAGTATGACCTTCCATTATAATAGCAGGTACATGAAGGTTTGTTTGCTATTCCATCAACGCAATGTTATTTTAATGCCTATTTGAACATCTGAATCAATTACCCACTTTGCCCCAAGTACCACCAACACCAGGCTTCACCTGAACACAACTGATAAGGACTCATAAAGGAGGGAATTCATTCATCTTCTCTTCTTGTATATGATTTTTTGATTGTCAACGGATTCTTAGATCTGGCATGCTTTGTCAGACCAGATGGGAGGTAAGCAACAACATCTTAATTGAACCATTCATTTCTAGATCTATTCAACTTTGTAAGGGAATTACGACATAATAATTAGATTCCTTTATTTTCCTTTGAAACGCTTCAGAACTGAAGATTTTTTTAAATATTTTTTAATGTCTCTATGTGTTTGTGTTAATATGCTTTAGTACAGAAATATTAACTGATATAGAAATTTAGCTTTTTAATGTCAATTCATTCTTAATTAAATAGCAATTGTATAAAATTTTGCACAAATTATTTATGCATTATTGAATAAAAAAGTACCGTAAATTAATCTGAGTTTAAATTTAAAAGAAAATTTTTGATTTGGTAGCTAGATATTCTTTGTAGCAATTACTTTTCTATAAATTACTTTTCAATGCTAAGAACTAAAACTGTGAATATATAATTAACTATCCTACTTTCCTTGTTGGACATTTATATAAACTTATTTTTTGTGGAAATGTTGCAGTAGTTGGTTTATTTTGGATTTAAAATGGGAGATATTCACATTCTTTATTTTATTTTTACCTAGACTTAACAGTTTTCAGGATGTATGTTTGGTGAAAGTGACTTAGAGCTAAAGTAATAAAATGCTTTAAACAGAAATTAAAAATTTAGAAGAAAGTGGGCAGAAGAATAACGTCAAAATCACAAATTGATAAAATATTTGAGATTCAGAAAAGCATTTAACAATAACTTAACACTTGCTAACAATTAAAAATCTTCATGCAATTCTAAAGACAGACGAACAAGAAGTCCTAATTTCACAAAAAGTCATTATTGTGAGAGAAAATTCCAAAATAAAAAAATTCATTGAATGACTTGCTAGTTAATGCCTAATTTTAAAAAGTATTGTACTTTATTGAGGTGAAAAAAACTGTTTTATTAGCAAATATTCTGCCTGCTTTATAATTCTTTTTAAAGTGCAGCATGTTTTTTTCAAAACAAGACCAGTAATTGCGAGCTATTAGAAAATATTTGAAATAGTTTAAGACATTTATAATTTAGCGGTCTCAGCATGTTCATTTTTGCTTGAACCACAGGAGTCGTTACATTGAATGTTGACTGTATTTTTAAATTACTATGCTAAATAATATGCAGCAATAATGTTCTAACAAATGCTTGCAATTTTCTTAACAAATTAATTTTGAAATTGTACATTTTAGTCAATTTAAGTAATGTAATTTATTAAAATTTCAGAACAGCTATAATCATAATAATAACCTTGTCTGGTGAAAAAATAGTCCATGATAGATTTTTAAGTACTATGAAAAATAAAGTACAAGAATAATTTTTATGCAAAGACTTTAAATTTATTTTAACACATTAATTTTTAATGTATTAAAATGAATTTAAACTGTTTTTTACCTCTTCAACAGAGTAAGTAAAAAAATTATTACAATTTTAATAATTAGTTTTTGACCTTTTTAATGAAATTCTATAAAAATAAACCTCATAATAATTTTTTTCTTTTTCTAACGGCAGGCACTGAACTTTTTTACGTTCTTCGCCTAGGAAGATGTCAGAAGTGTTACTCATTTAACGTTACCCAGTAGGCACTTGTGAACCTAAGTCATGGAGGTGAGCAACATTACCCACGCCACACTGCCACAGATACCCGTTTATAGGGTGGGCCACATTCACACATCACATAATAGTGAACAACACACAGAGAGAAACATCCATGTCCTGAGTGGGATTCGAACCCGCAGTCATTGGCTTCACAGTCAGGCACACTAACCACTCGACCATCTAGCCGGCACCTCATAACATAGAGATTATGTATTATTTTCAGTACTTATTAAAACTTAAATAATAAACAAATTTAGATATAGAACGAATCTTAAAGACCATGAAAATGTTATATACCTAATGAAAAAACATTATTTTTAAATGAAGAGTTTAAAAAATTAGATGTGTTTAAATAAACAAACTATAGTTTTTTCACACATATTCCTAAAAATAGTTCTTATTTTCTTACTTTTTCTCCTCCGTTAATTGAGAGATTTATTTCCCTCAATACGAGATCCAAATCATCTCTGTATCTTGTGCTGTAATTCTGAAAAAGTATATTACCCTCTGAGGGCCAATTATCTGGCACATTTTCTTGAGTCAGTTTCCAACTAGCCTAAAATAAATTCAGAAAAGTGAGCTTAAATATTTAGAAACCCAGATATTTTTTTAAAGTAATATACTTTTAAAATTATGAAATAAATATATAAAAATTTGATCTAGGCTTTTAAAATTACCAAACTCCCTGAATTAATTTTGAAAGTTAGTTTAAAGCATTCAGAATTTTCTTAAAATACAGTATAAACATGCTTTCGTCACAATTGATCATTGAAGTAAAAAAAAAAAAAGTAAAGTAAAATGCTAGCACAACAGTTAGTTGCAGACCTGGCGAGTCATGAAAGTAATTTTGAGATCATTAACATCATGGTGTCAATGTTTTTAAAATTATGAAATAAACAGAAGTAAAATATAATTTGAATTTTTAAAATTGGAAATAAACTAAAACTTTAAAAAGGTAGCAAACAAACTAAAAAGCATAACTATAACAAACTTTAAAAGGCAGTTAAATAACACAGAATTTTTTTGCCATGTAATAAAAAGACATTCAAAAATATGTTTCTGAACAAAAAGGGGAAAAAATAAAACACTCCAACAATAGCCAATTTTCGGCCAAGAGGGGTCATGGAGGATAAGTTCCCCAATTTTGAGTCGAATGGAAACATAAGGAAAATGCTCCATTCACTTCTCAGACTAAATAGGAATCATTAATTTAAATCTGGGTTGGCTTCAATTTGCCACCAAAGATAGAAACCTAGTCATTCACAGCTCAGCTCAGTGCCTAACCCATTGAATTATTATTGCTCATAGAAGTGAAACTAAATAATATTAAACAACAGAAAAGAGAGTTGACACTGGGAAAAAATTTCTTTGTCGGATTTATGCAAATATTTGATTTTACCTAATTCTGATGTGAGGATTTCAAATCTGAAATAAAAAAAGCAAAGGAAACCTCAAAGGCCAGTTTATTTTTCGATGAAATCAAAAGATATTCCTAATTATCACATTTCACCTCCTTTCAGTTTCATCAGTCACATTGCTTTTAATGATTTAACTATGCATGCTGTGAAATTTTGATAATGACTTTGTTTCATTACATTGAAAAATTAATTATGACCATTCCTAATCTAAACTAAACTCAGTGGTGTGACAGCCCATAGAGGACCAAGGCCTACTGTGCCCATCTCAGTTTTCTTGACCTTGGGCTCTGGTGCAAGAGCAAATGTTCCGGTCAGGTGGTCAGTCGAACACGAAACCCCAGTATTTAGTTCCCAAGCATACTTGGTACTCATTTATCGACCCACAGAAGGAATGAAAGGCTGAGTCAACCTTGCCCGACTCGAGGATCGAACCCAGGACCTGTGGCACAGGGAGCGCAAAGCGCTACCATTCAGCCACAGGGCGTCCCATTCCTAATCTACACGTTTTAATTTCTTCATTTTTGACAAGGATTCTGCAACAGTATATGAAGAGTGGTGATTATAGAGTACTCTATATTTAAGAGATGTCTGCTCAAATTACTGTATTATAATTATTGTATAACAGATGGGCTTCCCTTATTTCCAAGGGTATTAAAATACAAAAATCAATGTAAAATCTGGATGCATAGCCGCCAAATTTCTCAACAAAAAATAAGCATTCAAAAAATATTTTTAAAATTTTTTTTAACTGATTTAAGATAGGATTTTTTAGGACAATGGCAATAATAAAAAAAAATTTCCTATTATTTAAAATTCATCATTCATATACATAAAACTAAGAAACTACAAAAACATTTTCAATGACTTTACATAATCTAATCATAATAAAATAACTATAGTTTCAGATACATATGGGAGGGAAAATTGTGAAAATCATTTTTGTAATTTATGATGACAATCGAAATGGCAAATTAAAAATCGCATTTTGATAAAGAAAAAATAAAGCACTTTTTACTCACTAGTGGCACCTTAGTGGAAAAAGCACCTTTAAGGGCTTTTAAAGAACGAAAATCTAAAATAGGCACCTTTAAGCACTTTTAAAATATACTATGCACTTGAAAATATAATGCAATTTCAATTGGAACAGTAATTAAAATTAATTAGGTTATAAAGAATAATTTTAAGTTGTTATTAGCATACTCATATTAATAGTGATAATTATATTCAAAATAAATTTTTATGTTTATTTAAACTAACTTAAAAACACTGATTAAAATAAAATTAATTTAAAAAAAGATAAACAAAGAAAAATTTTAAGTACTTCTGATTTTAATTCACAATATTCATCCACTCTTTCAACAGAAATAGATCTGTTTTCCAATTCAGTATTCATTCTAACAAACCACTTCATTGCATCAGTAACCTTGAAAAAAAATGTAGCATAAAATTAGATTCTATTGAGAAAAAAATAGACATTTTAACATGATATAAATGTTTGCTTAAAGCATATTCAATATTCAATCATATAAAAAAAATAATTTTTTATTTTTAAAAAAAGGTTTTCGGTTTTTAATCCTTTTAAAAAGTTAATTGAAAAGTTGATATAGTTTGAACATTAAAAATAATTTTACAATAGATATTTCTGCTTTCTGCAAGTGTGATAAAAGCGGTAAGATGGCAAAATATTTTTAATTTGCTGAATACTATGTTTACAAATGTGTACTGGGGCTGATTGCTTTTTTTTTATCACATAGAGCATTCAAATTCATATTGCTTTGGTTGTAATTTTTTGCTGGTTACCTCAACTTCTTAGAGAATCTATATTTAATCAAAAATGTAGAGTGTAGGTAATCATATAGTCTTAAGATATGCCTAAAATTATGCAAAACTCCACTAAGTATTTCTTAAAAAATTTCCAAAAATATCAAATATTAAAAGAATCAAATGACTTTTTTCCACATATTGTATCAGAAAAGGTTTAACTAGGAAAAAAATTATGAATTTGGACATGAAAAGTTTAAATAATACTTAAGTCTCTTAAAAATAAAACAATTAAACATGGTAAATTAAAAACTGCTTTACCAATAGTTATTTTTTCTTTCGTTTTTCTAAAAGTAAAATAATTAATAAAAAATTAATTAACCAAAATATTTTATGCTCAATAAAATGAATTAATTGGCCAAAATGATAACAAAAGGTAAAATAAGAACAAACCTCACACAATAAATATTTTTTTTTTTTTTAAATTAAATAATTTTCAGTATTTAATTTTTAATACACCCCTCAGCAAGAACTGCATATGCCAAACAATAAAAAAGCATAAATCTAATTGTGTCATTCTTATTAATTTTATATCATAATGCAAAGTAAGAAATAATGAGGAAGCTACTGTATAAAATAAATATTAACTTAAAAATTTATAAAATAAATTAAAACTTACAGACAGAGTGTATGTAATCATTAAACCAATTTCAGCAGTAGACAGTGAATGCCGATTATAAATGGCTAATAGTGTAGCAATCAACACAATGGAGCTTCCTAATATGTCTAAATAGAAGTTGAGCCACCTGGAACACACAAAAATTTTAAAAATCAAAAGTCATCAATTGAGAAATAAAAAAAAAACGCCAAGGTTATCAATAACAATACTAATCTGACACCCAGTTATTATAAAAGAATCATTGCCTCAGTGAGAGACCTGCCGAATTTTGATCCAACCTTTATGTTTACTTCTGTCAGTCTCACTGAAAAGAGTATATGTGTGTGTTATGTGCTGTTATTATATTTTCGTCTAAATAAAAGTTTGGCCTGATTACAGAATTCTTAAATGAAATTTCCATCTATACGCACCCTCACCACAAGTATAAGTTACAACACATATGATTTATTTTTGAATTGATTTGCAGTTTTTGATATATTTTGACTTTTGCTATGCCCTACAAAATTATATCCCAAGAACTTTCTCCAGAAAAAAAAAGGTCCTAATATTTCCTTTCCCATATATGATGACCTTGACCAATGGGCATATTAGTTTGGTTTGAAGCAAGATAGTGTTGGAAATTAATGTAGTTTAATGCTTATTTTTCAGTTTGTCTTTTTTAACAAAAACTTATCCACAGTAAGAATGGAAGCGGCTCAATGGCTTTATCTTTTTAATAAAGGTAAGCAATATTAGAAAGCCTTACTAATGGTAGGTTTCTACTACAAAAACCTACTATTTGTTTACGATTAGAAAAATTCTATGAAACTTCTTATTGAAAAACGTACCACCCTGAATAGCTTTTGATCTAATGATCAGATCTTCTTGCACTAGAACTCAATCTTAATGGTTCGAGGGGGTGACCACAAATATGCTAATAAGTGCAAACAATACTTATTTAAGTTAAAAAATCCCATACAAAAACCTATTTTCTCTGAATAAACATACCATTTTTTTTGACGGATTCGGATGTTTGACCCCTAAAGTATAAGGGGTAGCCGTAATCTGGGAAATATGATCCCAAAAGTTTGGTCAGGAGAGAGATCCAAAGGTTGGACCCTATAATGTTAATTTTACTTTTTGGGTATTTCGCTAAACCTCAAGCACTTCTTAAGCATATTAAAAAATTTTGCCCAGAATCGTAAAATTCATTTATCCAAAGATAACTTAAGGCAAAAAATAACTTTCAGTAAATATTAATTATTTTTTAGCATTTTATTTAATGATAGTTGAAAAATTTCTGAATTGTGAGGCATACAATTTTTTACGTCATTTTAAAGTATGTAATTTTACATGGCAAAATACAAAATTTGAACAAAATCGGTTTAAAAGTTCCTGAGAAATCAAATTTTAAATATATACGACTTTTTTTAAAATTCGATTTTGTAGGAACTATACAACCAATTTCACTCAAATTTTGTATTTTGCCATGTAAAATTACACAATTTAAAATATTGAAAAAATTTTATACTTTACAATATAAAATTTAATTTCTTTTCTTCAACTATAATAAAATAAAAAGAAAAAATAATAAATATTTGTATTTATTATTTTACTTAATAAAATATGAAATTTATTTTTTGCATGAAATTATCTTTGGACAAACGAATTTTATAGTTGAGGGTAAAAAAATTTCTATTCGCTTTAAAAGTTCTGAACAACTAATTTAATCCATTAACAAAACATTTATATCTAATTATGGTATATTAAAATATTTTTCGTTTTGAGAATGATTTAAGAAAAGAATTTCATTTATTTTATTCAAATTAAACTCATTTTTAATTCAAATAAGTAACATCAATTTCCTTTTGGTGGTAAATACATTTACCAATGCCCATCACGGAAGCCTACAAATGTAGGAAAATTAATATTTTCTTCTTTTTATTTATAAAATTATTTTTTTGAATATTGTAAATAAAAAAGGAATTCCACATTATAATTTCATATTAATACATGACTGATATTACAAAACTATTTTTAATAGAATTTCGGAAAATATGAAGAAAGTCATATCGGAACATCATAAGCTGTGCACAAATGTTGCATTTTCTTTTGATGTGCTTTAGTATAACCCAAAGGACAGTGCCAGCATAAATTTCCTAAGATCGCCTTGCAATAACCAAGAACATACATTCTCTGGGATCATTATTATCAAATAACAACACAAACTAAAAGTAGTAACATTTATGAGCATTTAAAAGGACATTAAAGTTTTACAATCTTGTTCAGGCTCATCTTGTATATACATACACAGGTCCCGCACTAAGTATTTTAAATTATTATCCAGTAAATTAGCCAAATATCAAAAGTATTCTCCAACTTTCAGAAGTCTTCATTCTTATATTATTTGGACTAAATTCTAATTGGTTATACAGCGCATCTACGCCAAATTACTGTAATCGATTAAAAAATACTGATATGTTTTGAAAAATTCATTGTGACATAATTTTGAGGATTGAGTTAAATATATATTTTTCTTTCCAGAGAAAAAATCATTCTCCAATACTTTCAGAAACACAATTTTATTCGCCAAATTTACAATTTTATCGCATTTGGTGAGGTGACGAATGCTTAACGTGGGCCCTGTACACAGACATGAAAAACTTTTTTAATTATTTGTTGAACCCTCTGAGGAAGAAATAAAGTTTTATTTAAATTAATGTAATTTGAAAAGTTCTCACCTATCACATGCTGTGTTTGAGTTAAAACAAATCAAATGGCTCTCTAATTTATCTTCAAAAGATTCAGTAAATTCATCCTGAAGTTTAAATGCACAAATTGAGGATACACCTTGAATGCATTCTAATAATTGGCTGTAAATAGGTGATTTTGTGGTGGATTCCAATCTTTTTATTTGCCATATAGCAGTCAGATGTAATTTCTGAAAAAAATTAACAAAAAATATCTTTAAGAACTGGAATCATGTTTGGCTGATTTTAAAAACTGTAATGTCTATACTGAAACTTTGCATCTACACTGAAAGCTAAAATGATTATTATATTTTATTTTTATTGAATCTACAATTAACATTTTAATTCCAAATGAGCTACAGTTTTTTTAAAATTTACAGAAAGGTTTCAAACACTAGCATATTTGTTTGATTAACATAATTAAAAATAAAGATTCAGCACGATTAAAATTTACAATATTTCTTTTTCTTTGCTGTAAATCTCATTTTAAAATATCGAGAGCTTTTCTATCATCTGGGGAAGATAGATTTAACTTATTGAATGAGTGTTGATCATTGTCATTGAAGGATGATAGGCACTTTATAATTTTTTTTATTCATAATCAATTTTCATTTGGATTTCCTTACACTCCTAGTTTTGCTTTTTTTAAAAACTTTCACTTTTTATTTTCCTTAAGAGTAAGAAGTGTAATACAGCTCAAACTTTGTTCTTTTTATTTGTTTGGGGTACAATGAAACTCATTATTATATGCTTTTAAAACTTGGAAAAATAGAAACTAAATGCAGGGTTTTAATTATTTAACATATATCTAAGGAAAGTTTTATATAAAAGGGTGGTTTTAGAATATTTTGATATTGCAACGATTATGTACTTGCAGATTTGATTTTAAAAAATGGCTGATTTTATAGTTCAGGTGATTTTAATAGTGGTGATCACTGTACAAAAATAAATAACAATAAATTAAAAGTTTTACTTTAGCCTAAGACACTTAATATTTTTTTCCTAAATGAATAACAATTTTTTTAAATCAGTTACAGAACACATGTCTTTAAAATTCTAAGCTATGATTTATTGTTCTGCTTTTTTTTGCCATTTCTTCAATTCTGAGTATATAACAAAGCTTTAATTTTCTCTATTTTCGTATATTTTGAAATCCTAAAACAAATTATGATAAATTACGTGTTAAAATTATAAGCCACTATCTTAAAAAACTTCAGCAGTTCTAAAATTTAAAATGAAACTGTTGAAAACTAGAATATGAAAACAAACTTAACTCTTACTTGTAATATGTAGTATATAATTCCAAGAGGTACCAAAGTTACGAGAAAAATAGGAGTGCTTGATCCTATAATATAAAAAGAAGCCAGAGAAAAGAAGAGGCAGTTTATCCATCCATCAAAGCAACCAGCCATTTGAACATCTAAAACATCCATATCCGCACTAAATCTAAAGGGCAATAAAAGTTTAAAAAAAGTTGCAGAAATAGTTTTTAACAGTTACATACATAGCTCCTAATAATTGTGTACATAGCTAGTAACAGTTACATACATAGCTCGTAATAATTGTGTACATAGCTAGTAACAGTTGCATACATAACTGGCACACATTGCTTGTAACAGTTACATACATAGCTTGTAACAGTTGCATATAGAGCTTGTAACAGTTCATACATAATGTGTAAAAGTTCATACATAGGTTGTATACATAGCTTATATTGTACCTAGTTTAAACCAGTAGTCACTGAATGATTATAAACTGAATAATTATTTATGTTCACAAAAAAAAAATTAACGAACAAGGATTTCTGTTTTGGTAGCATCAGTGAAATTTTTCCCCTACCCAAGTTTTGAAGCCATACTGGTTGTAAATTATTACTTTTATTTTAATTAAGCAAACTTTAATTAGTCCTTATCATTATTTTATTTTTATTTCTCTGCTTTGCTCTTCCCGCTAAATAATTATTTCATTAAAATATACAGTGTGTTTATATGAAAACTTGCCACATTAAATAACTTTTTGATAAGTAAAATTTTTAAAACAAGAACAACTTTTTGTTAGTAAAATTTTTAAAACAAGATCAACTTTTTGTTAGTAAAATTTTTAAAAATGATGTGTGAAATTTATCAACTTAGTTTTGAAGGGTGACATTTTAAGACCCACTGCAATCAGTTAGAGAACATTACTCCCTCCTACACAAAAACATTTGGTGGTCCATGATATGAAATATTTTTTGCTTGGAGTTCCTTGAGGATCAAAAAATTAGCAACCACTGGTTTGAATTCATTATTAATTATTTAGATATTGTAATAAGTAAAAATCCTTACAATGGTGTATTGCTTAATTAATTTTATGATTAATTTTATTGCGTTGTTGTAGTTAATTTACGTCACACTAGAGCTGCACAATGGACTATTGGCGATGGTCTGGGAAACTTCCCTGAGGATGATCCGAAAACATGCCATCACAATTTTGATCCTCTACAGAGGGGGTGGCACCCCAGCTTCGGTAACCCGACGACCTGCACGCAAAGTCAAGCACTTTAAGGTAGAACAGATTAACAAGGACCAATATCGCACACTGATTGCAGCCAGTGATGTTTGACTGCGGTGATCTGCTGGGAACCGTGTCTTAACGATCAGTTCACTGTGGGACTAATTTTATTGCGAATCCTGATACACCATATGAGAATCTCAGTCAAAACTTTTTAAAAAAAGGAATTAAACTAAGTTATATGTAAAATTATGTTCAAAGCAATGATTTTATTCATATTTTAGCACAGCCACTGAAATTGTTTCTAGTTTCAAATATGCATGATCGCCTTTACTTTCCAGGCAACTGCAACCCATCCATCTGAAGTTGGGTGGGCTTCAAGCCACCATTTGGGATTGTAAACCATTTTTTCACAATAATAGCTCAATGCCTTAACCACTGAGCTATTTCAATTCAAGAAGAGAGACTAGGGTACTTCGGACCTTAGTTTTTAAATAACCCTTATGGTTTCCTTCTATTTTTGTTCCTGTATAAAAGTATATTTATACTATTGTATTTATACTTATATAAAAGAAATAAGTTAAAACATTTTTCTACAAAACATTATTACGTATATTGATATATTTGATACTCATGGGATGGGAAACAAAATTAAAAGCTAGACACAGAAAAAATATTTTTATAAGAATTTTTTAAGAGATCATGAATTATTTCAAAATTTGAATTGAGAGAAACTGTTGACCTAAATATAAATGGTACTAAAATTTGACAAACCGGTTCATGATCCTTCCCATTGGTGTGCTCTCAAAAAACGCCATTGGTGACTTTAAAATGCAATCCAACATTTTATTATGATAACGTCCAGAAGCCAGAAATGCACCATACATTAGTGCACAGGTTCCAATAAGAATAGATATTGCTAAGCAAAAAAAAAATTACATAAACTGTCAATCAAAATATAATCTAATACACAATATAATATTAAAAAAATATCTCATACTTAACAAAGACTTATAGTTTACCAGAAAACTTAACATCTTATTAACATTAAAGCCAAGAATATCATCATTCTTTAACAGATATAGAACAAAAGTTAACATTATTACATTATTAAATGCCAGGTATTGCTGAAAACATAAAAATCTGTTTTATTGTCAGAACCAACGAATAAGAGTTAAAAGGCTATTAATAGAATATCTCCTAACTTCATCAGGGAATTAAAATGGTTTTGATATTTGTTATACCCTCCTCTTCACTAGTGATTTGACAATTTTCAAAAGTCTCTTTGTTTCTTTGTCATTTAAAAATTTATTTGCGACCCCTGATGTGTATCCCCCTTTTTTACTTCATTTTGAACTTTTTGATTGTTTATTCCAAAAATGTATGTTAAGGGAAGTGGTTACAGAAAATGCTGTGTATATCTTACCAAATGCTTTTTTTAATATTGAAATTTTTTTTATAAACATCTGAATAATTGTCACCTTGTACATTTATATCTTATTTTTACATAATCAAATATATATTACCATCTCTGCCCACATAGTAAGCTAAGATAAAATTCATCTATCTATTCTATGTATTCTTCAAGCTTGTAAACCCAAATCGAAAAAAAAGCTACTAAGTCTAATAATCAGTATGAAAATGCATTAGGAGTTGCATTAGGAGTTGAAGCTAACAAATATTAGTTGCCTATAAGTCTCAAAATAGAAAACTTTCCTGAGAAAATATAACTACTGGTAAGCTGCCAAATTCAAGATTATACCTTTTCCTACACTTGAAAAACTGTTTTTTGTGGATCTAAAATTTTAAGATGCAAAATAGAAATTAGCTATTTAACCTTGAGAAAGTCCTAAAGCTCCATAAATTTCAAGTCTATAAATTGTTGAAGATGTGTTTTGAATTCCATTTATATGAGGATCAGAGCTCCACTTGCTAATCCAAATATTTGCCGCAGTCTGTAAAAAATGTAAAATAATTTAATGAAATGGTTAAATTTTTATTAAATATAAAAAATGTTAAAAGTATTTTGTACAGTTAGTGAAAACATATAAAATTTAAATGTTGCCATTACTCTTTGTAATAAAAAAAACATTTTGTATTTCTGAAAAATAAGCTAAATAAAGTAATTTAAAATAGTGAGTGNTGTGTGTGTGTTAGTGAAAACATATAAAATTTAAATGTTGCCATTACTCTTTGTAATAAAAAAAACATTTTGTATTTCTGAAAAATAAGCTAAATAAAGTAATTTAAAATAGTGAGTGCAAGTAAGACAAAACTTACATCAAAAACAGTGTAAAACAAATAACCAAGCAGGATAAATGTAGCCATTAATATCCCAGTTTTTCGAATATATTTCCAATAAATTTGTATTTTTACCTAAAACATAAAGAAAACTTTATTTAAATTAAACAATATCGGAAGCAGTTCTATGTGCAAAATTACAAAGAAAAAAACATTTATAAAAAAACTATTTATTTATAAAAAAAAAATATCAAGAAAAGCCTAAATTGAGCTAGGATTGATAAAATTGATTTATATTTGATTTTGTGAAATTGGGATTAAAATATTTACTACTGAAGGGAATTATAGATAAAAAATAAATGTAAAGAGATTTTTAATAGTTACTGATTGAAATTATAAGAATTTTTCAATAGATTCTAACATCATTTATAATATTAAGTATCATTCAACAAGCCCAATTGTAAATATCAAACACTTTGTGATTTTGTTAAACAAGTAATACTGAAACATGGCAGTTATGGAAACATAGAAAAAAAATCCTGAATGTTTTCTTGATTTCTTAACTGATATCGTCAATTTTTACGATATTTGATAGTGTTTTAGTACCTATTTTTCTAGTTTTATCTCATTCAAAGTTCTATAAGTTCAGGTAAAGTAAAATAAACATAAAAACAGCTTTCCCAAACTTTTTCAGTTACAATAAAAATGTCCTAAATAATTAGCTAGTAATTAACAATTAATAATTTCAATTATTAATTAATGTAGCATATCTTTTCTACGTATATTTATCAATCTATATTATACGCTTTTAACAAGCAATTTTAAAAGAGATTTAATAATTACTGTATCCATAAAACAGGTATTTAATTCATGATTATCACAAATTTTTGTACAACAAATTGAGTTTGTTAATATAAATTTTTTTTTAAAAAAAGTCTAAATATATAACTGACGTTGAAGGGCCAACCCAATTTTGAATTTACAACTACCATTGTTCAACTCCCTAGCCTTGTAATTTTGAATCCAATACAGAGGACAAGGGAACTCCTGAATCAAATGTTGGGAAAAATTTGCCTTCATGGAGGATTTTTTGATGGAACTAACCCACATTTGCATTACATGGAGACAAGAGTACTCTAACTCATGATTCGTCTAACATTGAGGATGTCAGTAGTACTGTAGCCATGTGCGGAATTTTGTATTGAGCTACCATCTCTGGGATTCGAAACCCGGCTCAGCTCATTGGGAGGGGAGAGCTCTTATTTCAGAGCAACCTCAACTCAAGTTCAAATATAATGAAACCTTGGCTAAATGGACAATCTTGGGAACGAAAAAAATCGTCTGTGTATGGAAATTATACACTAATAACAAAGGTTAATGCAATAAATTGTTTTCAGAATAAATTACGATGATTTAGAAATAATTAATTATCTTTAATAATTATTTACATTGATATTTGTAAGGCACTGGGAACTATGGAGTTTCTGTATTCACAATGGATCATTTTTTAGGTGTCTGAATAAATGTTTCATTTATATGAATAACTCAATAAATAAATATCTATTCTTTTTTTAAGTACAGGGGTAGAAGAAAGAAATCTTTAGTGGGGAAAGGGAATTGAAAGCATTCAATGTATAATTTCAACTTGTAAAGTCTTATAACTTGTGTCATCCAGATGAAAAGACCAAAAGATGCCACTGTCAAAAATATTTCAACGGAACAGTATCATTTATTCTTCGTTCTTAGCAAGATAAAGGAAGATGAAGACAATGCTTGATTCCTTAGTAGTGAAATAGTTTAATAATATTTTTAGTTGAGGATAAGGCAAAAATTTGACATGCTTCATAAAGAATGGTGGAAAGATACATACTTTTTTTCTCTTTTTGAAATTAAAAGTAAAAATAATACCTTTTCTTTTTTTTAAATTTAGGAAAAAATTGTGTCCAGTTTGAAGAGATTGAAAGTAATGATTTAGAGCCTAAATGACTGTCTGTGTTGGGTTAAGAGAATGTCTGCTTTGCAGTGAGGTATAATTGTTTATTCAGAGAAAGTTCCCAAAAAATAAACTCCATCCATCAAAATATCCATGAAAAAAATTCCATACAAAGAGAGTGTCTGCTTTGCGGTGAGGGTACATAATTGTTTATTCATAGAAAGTTCACAAAAAAATAAAATCCATCCATCAAAATGTCCATGAAAAAAAAGTCCATCCAAAAAATGTCCATTATGAGAGACAACAGTTTCAAAGGAGTGTCCATAATGCGAGATTTCACTACATAATCAAACAAAATTATAGTAAGTATACATATAACATGAAACTTACATTTCCAACTTCCATAGTCTCATCATCTGTTAATCTGTATGCTTGAACTATATTCATATCTTTGGTATGCAATTCTTTATCAAAATCCCCATCAAAAGTCCTAGAGTCTGAAGAACTTTGATGCGACAAAAACCTAACATCGAAATTAAAAAAAGTTTTATAATTACATAATTATATATATAAAGGCAGTAAATAGGCATCTGACAAAAATGTATTCATATTAATAATGCATCAATAATAAAATAATAATTATATTCAATAATCCATTTGATTTAACGAAAGCGATCTTAAATATTTATGCAGAGTTATGCATATAATCTTCTGTAAGTTGACTTTAACTTATGAAATTGCTCGAAAGGTAAATTATAAAATTTTATCCACCTTTATCACTCTTTTTAAGCTCTTTTAAACCTAATCTATTCAACACAGATTACGTTTTCTTTATAAGAAATTAATTTATGCTAGATTTTTAATTTTTTGTAAGAAAAACTATACATTATCACAAAATGCTGAAAAACGCAGCAAATAGAAAACACAGCAATTGTTCCTTTGATTTAGAAACACAAACCAAAGCAATCTTAAATATTTGTGCACACTTATGCTTATAATCTTCAGTTAGTTGGTTATATGCTTATAACCTTTAGTATGCTTTTAACCTTTATCTATCTTTCTAAGCTCTTTTAAACCTAATCTGTTAAATATAGCTTAGGTTTTCTTTATAAGAAATTAATTTAGGCTGGAATTTGTTTTAAACATTTAATTTGTTAATTTGTTTTATACATTTGTTTTTTAAAGGGTTTGCACTTTAGAAAATGCAATTAAGACAATTTCAATTACATACTATTTTGCACTAAAAGTTTGTTAGTTGTATAAAATGAAAATGCAATTATGCATGGCAAAATAATAAACCAAACCATTTCAAAGATGTTACGTGTAGTCCAATTTTTCTTAAGCATCCATAACAATAATTATAATTTTCAATATAACTTATAAAATAACAAGTTGAATTAAGAATTTGTAAGAATAAGTTATGATGAATGAGTTTAAAAACCTTTTAATTGCTTTTGGCTCTTCTTCATTAAGTTTATTGGTGGAATGTTCCTGAATAAAACTTGTAAAAGGTCCATTGTTTTCCATTAAAGATTGATATGTTCCGATTTCCTCAATTTGTCCATCTTTCATACTAACAATTAGATCCACTTTATGAAGCATAGATACATCATGCGTGACAAGAATCCTAGTCTAAATATATAAATCATTAAAAAATAAAAACAGTTTATATTTTAAAACAATATAAACTATTTTCTAGAGCTTCTTTTTCCTTTTTGCTTATTAATTACTCTTAAATATTAATAATTTAGAAAGTTAAAAACACAAATCAAACAAAAAACGAAGAATACTTAAAGATATGTATGTAACAAACATGCATATCTTTAAATATTCTAAGTTTTCAGCTTGATTTGTGTCTCTAACTTTCTAAATTATTAAAATAAGACAAATTTGGTTTTAGCTGCTTTTAGCACTTTTTTCATTTTGACTTATTATTTTAAATGTTATTTTCTTATTTTGTCTTTTTCTTAATTTGTATAAATCAGTTTCATTCTTTCATTAAATTACTTAAATATTATTAATAAGATTAAATAACTAGTTTTTAGAAACTAAGTAACATAATAAGTAAAATAATATAAATAAATAAATAATCTGCCGCCTTTAAAAAATAATAGAGCATCATATTAGTGAAGTAGAAGGCTCATTTCAGCCTCTAATTCTGTTATTAAGTGGCAAATTATGTAAAGAGCAGAATAATAATAATAATTTCCTCACATTAGTGTAAAAAAACATTTTCCAATTTATTCAGAGAAAAAATTAAAAATTATCTTTATATCTCCAAATATCACTATGTCATACTTAGACATTCTGATCCCACTATGCCCTTATAATTCTCACACAAGTACCAGTTTTTATGGGAGCCGAAGTTAAGGCACTCAACTGTCATTGTGATGGACTGAAGTTTGAACCCCAGTGGTGGCTTAAAGCTCACCTAGATTCAGATCGATGGGTACTAACTTGCCTGGGAAGTAAAGTTTTCAGCACAATTCTGACCACATCGCCATAGTTTAATGTGTTCTGACTACATTGAACTGTGTAGAATTCTGTCCAAATTACCACAATCAAACTATTATTCGATGATATTGTGGAGCGATAACCTCCATAACAGGCTTTATAGCATTTTGCTTATTACTTTTTTCCCCTACATTATTGTTTATTTACCGGGAGATTTTATTTGCTTCACCGGATTTTTTTTTCCATTGAGCAGTATATTTTTTAAAGCAAATCAACTGTTTTAATGTGGACCATCGTTCGATATTGGCAAGTTCATATCACGTCCGGATCACCATTGAGGAGTTATATTTATCGACTATGTCAACCTTAATTTATCAAAAGGTACCTCAAGATAGAATCAAGTTACCATGTCTTATATACTAGTGAATTAGTATTTAATCTTTGTAGTGGTAGTTACGCCACAAAGGAAGGCTTTACTTTATCACTTTTTATGAGGAACAACTAAGGGATAAGTAGACTGATGTCAACAAAAGCATATAGTTCTATTTATTCTATGAGAGAAAGTATTAATTTTTTTCTCCAAAAGAGTGGTACATCATGTCTGCATGCTTCAACCCCATTACTCTTAATTCTACTATCAAGTACTTGCCAAGAGCAAACAAAGGAGAAATTGATTTATACTAGAGAAAAAATTTCTAATTACACTGTTTCAATGTGGAAAATTAAAAAAAATTAAAATATATAATATAAAGATTTTTATCAGTATTTTTTAAAAAAATTTTTTAATGTTTAAAATTACATATCAGCACTATTTTTACACAACAGGAAAACAAAAATATCTTCGTATTATATCGTTATTATTGCGCCTGTACGTAGATGTTAATAACTATATATAATGAAAGTGTAGTTGAAGTATATGGAATAATGATAATAAATCTAGGGTAAAATAAAAGGCTAGAAAAAACTGTTTTAATGTCCCCATGTCTTAAGGGTTTTTTTCACCTTTATACCTGCTATTTTATAATATATTTAATCAAAAAGATGTAAAAAACAAAAAAAAAATAAGAAATCAAGTAAATTAAAACGAAATTTTTTTTTAAAAATATCAAATACACAAAGAATTTTTTAAAAAACATATCTGATATGTACATTCAAGAAAAAATTTTAAACTTTAACGCTATATATATTTCAAGTGATTTACCTTTTTCTTTAATAAACCTTCATTGCCAATAACATCATCGAATAAAGCTTTCCTCACATGTACATCAACAGCACTTAGTGTATCATCCAAAAGATAAATATCCCGATTTTGATATATAGCTCGGGCTAAACTAACTCGTTGTTTTTGTCCTCCACTTAAATTCACACCCTAAGAAATTAAAGAAATTACTTTAATAATTTATGAATTCTGAAATATAGATAACAAATATAAAAGTAAAGGGGATTAAAATTATAAATTCATTGCCTGAATTCACTTTACACTAGAATTATAAATCTAGGTATACTTGTGGTGTCCTAACCCCCACAAGTATATCTAGATTTTAAAATGAAGTCTTAGGGAAAATCAATGCTATAAATTATTTTGCTTTGTTTATTATATCATTTGTTTATTATATCATAGCAAAAAGTTCATTAAAATCAAACGAGATTTCAATATATTTTTAACATGTTAAGAGCCATGTCAGCCATTAGTGACTGACACTGAACTTTCAATTTCGATCGCACAGTCTTCTGTGACAGATACTGAATTTTTCTTTTTGCCACATCAGTCATAGGTGACTGACAGTCTAAAATATGATAGAAATTTATTAAAAAATTACATTGTTTTAATTAATTACTGAAAATTCATTTAAAATTTACTTAAATTTTATTTATTACAAATCAAATTTTTATTTATTTCAATTTGTCAGTAGTGCACTTCCCAAAGATATGCCACAATACGAGCCCTGCTAAGCAGTAAGCGCGATCTTAAAAAAAAAATTTTAAACTTTTCTTAAAAATACATGTTAAACAAACACAATGTAATTCATAGCATCATCCATCAGTATTATGTACCCCCCTTTTGATGTTATAATATTCTTCTTCTCATTGGCATGACAGCCCAGGACGGGCAACTTCTCAACAAGCCTATGCCAAGACCCTTAGCCAAGGTTCTCCAGTTTATTATCTTTAAAACTTGTAAGTCCTTTTCAAGGCAGTCTAAAAATCTTAGGTTTGGCCGTCCTTTTTTTCTTGTACCTGTTGGCCTGGCACTGAAAACTTTTTTGGTTGTCCTGCTATCCTTCATTCTTATAATGTGGCCTGCCCATTTAATACTTGATGTTATAATATTAATTCAAAAAATAATTAAGCATGAAAAAATATGCACCAAAACATAAAAAAGTGTCAATTTTTCTCTCAAAGCTTGCAAAATTGATGGCTTAATTCAATGACTAAATTCAAGATCTGATTGCAAAATGAAGACTGCTAATTAGGTCTGATTACAACTGCTATGTAAAATTATCATTTCACTGTGTAATTTTATAGTGTGAGCTACAGGAATAAGAAAACAAGTTAAAAACAAAGCTACCTTCTCTCCAATTTCAGTTTCATCACCAGAAGGTAAAATATCCAGATCAGGCCTCAAGCAACACAAATCTAAAATCTTATTGTACTTATCTTCTTTCATGGATTTCATCAGTAGGATGTTTTCCTTTAAAGTCTTGTTTAAAATCCAAGCTTCCTGAGGTACATATGCTATGTTACCCTAAAAAAAAATGGAATAGTGTTATATAATAACAGCGTAGTCAATCTCTAAATATAACTAAATTCAATGAGATTTTCAGAGTACAAATAGAAAACTTCACTAATTAACAAATTAACATAATTTTAATAGCAAGCTAAAAATGTACACATACATTTATACTTATAGCACATTTATACCTTAATACTGAAGAAAAAATTTTAATTAACATTAATACTGTTTAACATTAAAAATGTTCATTGTTTCAAACCTAAAATTTTCATCACATTAAACAAAAACATTTTTTATGATTCAACAAACTGTCATTTATGAATTCATTACTGGCTTCAGATAGGACTGCTTTTAATGTTTTGTCCTACTGTTTTGCAATGTAAGAAAACTGAAATTATTAATTAGAATAATTAAAAATGAACTATCTATCAAAATATATGGATGACAAGAAAAATAAATAAAAGAGAGATAAGATCATTTTTAAAACATACAATTTGATACATATAAATGCCAAATAATACATTGAATCACTTTATTACGTGTATGTAAAGTGACGTCATATTCACTTAAATGAATATGACAAACAACTGCTGATTGCTGATATTACAAAAAATTTCAGAGCTAAGGGAAAATTTCCTTCAGAATTTTAGATTTTCCAGGAGAATTTTCAAATTTCCTGAGAAATACAGATATAAACTATATCTATTTCTGTATTTTCATTTGTGCTTTATTCATGTTTTTTTTTAAATTTTTAAATACTTCTTTCTTCTACTCAAAGGAACAATATTATACAAAAACGGCAAAGTAAAATATATTTTTATTCATTTCTGGTATCTGTACAGAAAAGAGAAAAGTGGACTTCATTTCACCTTTATGTTATGAGAGGGGGACCACCAAGGCATTGGTAAAAGCAGGCCACCTAAAAGAAAAGTTCTTGTGCTTTTTTTAAAAATCCTGCCACATACTTCAAAAGAATGAAGTTTTTGTTAACTACAGATCTACAATGAAGTCTTAATTCTTCTCTTGACAGGTAATTATAGAAATCAATAATCAGTGTTATCAATCAGGCCAAAAACTATTGTCCATCAAGTCAGATTTTATCTCATATCTTGCATCTCAGTCCAGTGTACTAACTGTAGACAAAAACAGTCTACTCTAGATATTGATTTTAAATCAAAATAGTTGTTCAGAATCAAAGAAAAGAAGTAAATATGTTTAGTTTCTTTTTTATTTTTTTATTTTTATTTTTTTATTTTTGTTTTAACATTATGTGTATTTTATTTGTTCATTTGTTGGTTTTATTATGTGATATAATGAAATTTTCACTGAAACGAAAATTTAAACTTCTATCGTGAATTATAATTAGAAGAGACTTTTACTGCATATATATATATATATATTTAATGTTTCATTATTTATAAGCATTGTTATGCTTAAAGCTTCAGTGTCATAAAATAAATCTCAAAAAACTTATNTTTATTCTTCATTTTGATATATATATATATATATATATATATATGAGAAAAAAGGGTAACAATCATGGTGAGTGTTGTTAGGCCACGCAGATAGTAGTTGGAAGGCAAAAAATATTTTATTAGCTTCGCATAGTATATTCAGGACATTTTCTATCAAAGGCGGAGCTCAAATTCACACTCTAAAACTGTGTGCTTAATTTTTTATCCTAGGGCAAGTAGCAAAAGAATTTCCCTCTATTTTGTTATATTTGACGGGAGAAGGGAAATCCCAGGGATTACTATTGTTTTATGAACTAGGTAAACTGATTCCCACGAAAATTATAGGGAAAAATGTCCTTACTTTAAATTTATGCATACTTGGGCCAAAAATAGATTTAGAAACAGGATGTGGCTTTCTAAAAGTGTGAGATAGCATTTCGATTTGAATAAATAATTAGTAAAAAATCAGGAGTTGTTTTATAGCAAAGAAACTAACATAAAGAGATTAATAGAAGCTTTTTATGAAAACTGTTACAGTTTGCTACTTCTACTAGGTACTCTGGAGTGCACTTAACTAAACATTGCTTCATGATAGATTTCAAGAAAAGTGGCTTGACAACTATTTTCTTTCTACTGCTAATAGTATTAATAATAAAATAATATTTTAGAAAACTTAGAAAAAATTTATTTCAAAAAATCATCAAAATAAAATGTCAAATATATAGCTTATATTATATAGTTTACACCAAAAATGCCAAATATCTAAGAACCTCAATTTTGATTTTTGTTTGTAGCCCACATTTATTTTATAAAGTGCAATACGTTGTAGTATGTGATTATTTGCACTGAGAAGTAGCAATTTAACTAGCAAAACTAATAAACAAGTACCTCAGCATAATTCAAGTGTTTAGATTGAACACCTACTTTTAAATCCACTGAACCATACATTTTATACAGCTCTCCCAGGATGGAAGAAAGTAATGAAGATTTTCCACAACCTACAGGTCCAATCACAGCAACCAACTTGCCCATGGGAATGTGCAGATTAATATCGACAAGTACGGGAGAAATATCCAAATCCCATGTGAATGTAGCTTGTCTTATTGACACAACTTTTCCTAAATTTTTTAAATGTTATAAATTTTAACAATAGCATAAAAACATTCCATTTATATTTATTATATAAAAATAAATACCATATTAACAATTTCCTAACTTTGAATTTGAATTAAATAACAATTTACCATAACCAATAGCTGAAAGGTATGTCACAAGCTCAGCCTTGGCAACAAACTATCTAACTGGGATCTAAACTCAGCAAGGAATCATGGTGCCTTTTAAATTAGCCATGCCTAAAAGTACTCTTGTTGGTATGGTGTGGAAATTTGGAGAAGGGGTATCAGCTTCGGTGCCATCCATTACATCCAACAAGGATTAAAACTGCATAGTATTTGTGCCATAGCTGCTTAAAGAGAGAGCTCCGGAAAACATGGCTAGGTACAGTACAAAGTAAAATAAATTGAAACTTAAGAAAAAGGTTGTACGACTTAATTAATAAAAATAAAAAGTAAAGTAAAGCATTTTCCCAACAGCCCGAGTAAACCAGGGGCTCGTGGAGGTTAAGGCTTCACAATTTCGTGACCAACGGCATGATTGTGACAATGTGGTCAGCATTGTGCAAAGACCGCCTTTACTTCTCACACAAGCTGGTATCCAGCAATCTGAAGCTGGGTGGGCTTCAAGCCACCATGGGGGATTAACCCCAGGAACAGAAATCAGAAATTATAATATATTTCTTATCTTTATACAACATTATACAGATAAATCAGTAATTAATTCTCTCTTCTTTAGCATTAATAACAATTCGAAGCCGTCTTGGGACAGATTCAACGAGAAATTGGAGAGTGACAAAAGAGTTGTTTCATCCCATTTTTTTTTTTAATTATAAGTTGTTTCATTCCATATTTTCTTTCATTTTTCAAATACTTCCTTTAATTCTTTAACTTTCTTCTTTCAAGTTAATTTTTCATTATTCTCCACAAACACTAGGTCGGACTGAGATCAGGGGATGAAGAAGACTACTTTAAAATAGTGATTCCATTATCATCAAGCCATTTGACGGTTTGTCTTGAAGTTTAAGGACTAGCATTATTTTGTTCTAACAGAAAGCAATAATCACGGTAAAGTTTTTTTACAGTGGGAAGGAACTTGTGCTAACTGTTCAGAACTCCAATGATCATTTCTTCATGCTAAACACGATATTATATGCTTATCATTTACTGAGAAAATGAGAGGTCCTTCAGATTCTGGTCTTCTTTAAGAGCCTTGTTACTTTTTGAACAGTTTTTTCATACGAGAAATTCTAACTCTGTTCTTTCGAGTCCATTGTATCAGTTTTCAAACATCACGAAAAGCCATGCTTATTGAAATTTCAAGCTTCATTCTAGCCTGGAGATAATTCCTCACTCAGATCAAATTTTTAAAATGAAATATATTTTTATACAAAAAAATTTTGATTTGTACTGAGTAATTATGTCGAATAGTTTAATTTCTTTATAAAATCTTTTATATACAAAATAAAATGGTGACAAGAATCACTGAAATTGCAAAACTTTAGAAGTCTCAATTTTTTGTTCCGTAGTCTAGTCATAATTTGGAAGAAAGGCATGCTATTGGTCACACATTCATGCAGAAATCTGTCAAAGAAATGACAATAAATTCTGCTTTAGTTAAAGGAATTCATTGAAACTGGATATATTTTGTTAAAAAGATTATTTTTCCTTGTAACAAAAATTAAAAAATACTTTCTCATAGAATAATTATACTTTATTTTAGACAGTAAAAATTTTTACTAATTTCACTCATAGTTTAAAGTTTGTAAATATCAAAAAAGCATTAAAAAATCCTTCCGTACACTATTAACCAATATCAGTTTTCCAACATTATTCTTGTCCTATAAGTTAAGACATATCCCATAAGATTAGAATAATAAGAATTTTGCAGTTAAAAGTTCTTACCTTCATCAGGAAAATTTCCAACAGTAGTGAGATCTTTATTTTCAAGCGTCAAGAATTTTTTAAGTCTTCCTATGCCAACATTGCACTAAAAATATGTATTGCTTTGAGTTAAAAAAAGTTACACTAAAATAAGGCAAATGAAAAATTAATTCTAAAAATTGATTACTTGAACAATTTCATTTATAGCTTCTGGAAGTTCAAACATAGCATAACGTAACTGGCTCATAAGAGTAAGAGTAACAAACGCTCGGGTGGGATCCAGTACATTGTTACGATCAGCAAGTAAAAATGTAGCAAAACTGGCCGTAGAAACCTAAAAAAAAAAAACTTTTTTTTAACATAGTTGTGGTATTTATACAGCGGCAGCATTTGTAGCTTCACAAAAAAATTTCAAACACCTAAAACCTCTTCCAAAATAAAATAAAAATAAATAACTACAATGCAAAATAGTGAATTGTATTCATGAAACAAAATTAAAACATATATACGGAGAGTAGGTGAGCTTAATGTGTTATAGTTATAAGCTCTTTTACCTCAAAGCTTAATCAACAAAAAACTTTAAAATTGAATTATCTTAGCTTCAGATAGCTCAAGAGAGGGAACAGCTGAATTATGCCAATGTTTTTACTAAATAAAATGAAACTAACCAGTGTAATAAACTAAGTTATATGCAAAAATAAAGGGAAATAAAAAAAATACAGATTATATGACTCCAAAATATTTTCGTAAAACAAAACACAACTTTTTTTTATTTCCAGGTTTAATTCATATTTCCAGTTCATCTCCTGGCCTTAAATATATAATATTTATTTACTACAATATAGCCTATTTTATTTCAGTTCTTGTGGCATACATTTTCATTCAATTTAATTCAAAAAAAGTATTGTAAAATGATGAGGGATCCCTGTGTTCACTCAAACTCAATTGGGCTCACATTAAAAAAAAAGTTTCTTGTTAATATATCTATTTATATAAAAAAAATTGCTAGCAAAAAAATTCCATTTTTGTCCTTTTAGCAAGAATTTTGTAAGTCTTAAAATTCATCCTTGTCACACTTCTCAGGAGCTCTATATTATTATAATACATTTATAAAAATTATTCTATTTAAAAATAAAATTAAACATCGATCATCTTAATCATAAGTATATATTTTTCAGTAAATAAACTAAATTGAACAGTAGTTTAAATCATAATCAGGCATGTAATTAGGCTCTAATGTAAAATTCATAACCGATCATTTAATAAATATAACAAAGATAATTTTGTATTGTTTGATATATGCATTTAAAATCATTTTTAAGAATGAATAGCCCCATTTTTACTCATGATGGTATATTACAAAGTTGTAGCATGCTATCAAAAGCTGTAAAACAAAACATTCAAAAAATGATAATAACAATAAGTTTAAAAGAGACAGTTGTAATATTACGCACCTGAAGGGGGAGGGGTTTTATGATTTGCTTATTTTACTGACAAATGAGGAGAGTTTGAGCATTGCCAATGAAAAACTCTAAAACACTTTTGTTTTCATATTTTTTTATGCTGTAGTTAGTTACAGTTAATTTACATCGCAGTAGAGCTGCACGATGGGCTTTTGGCTATAGTTGTAAAATATCTTTAGAAGTTATTACTTAATATTTGAAGAAGATATATTCAAACTCTGTTTTGGTAATGGATATGTTTATGCTCATTCTTACTGTATCTTATATGCAAATACAGTGATCCCTCATTTTTCATGGTTAATGGGGACCAGAATCTTCCGCAAAAGTTTAAAAACCAGGAAGTAGGATTTGCCCCTAGGAATTTCCGTGTATGCGGGTAAACGAATGTTTTAAATATGTAAACAGTATTTTTACTCTACACATTTAAGACAAAAATTACAACAGTATACGTATTTACTTAAACGTACCGGTGTAATTAATAAGGTTAATTACAAAACTTTATACAGTATTAAACATTAATCAACATTGCTTTCTGAGAGAGGCGAAGAGTCTTGTGTTGGTGGCAGAGGAGAGGCTCTCACTTGACTCATAGAAGCTTTAGACTCACTCAGAGACTCTTCTGCTGAAGCCTGGATAGTCGTGCATCGCGTTTGGCCATAATTTCTTCCAGCTAGATTTCATGGTCTCAGTCTTCATGTCCTTTTAATGCTTGCTGAATATTAGACAAACATGAGGCAATGTCATAACTGCACCAGTATGCTTTCTGACGTCCGAGATTCTCTCAGAATATCATATCTGTATATTAACAACTCAAAAAAAAAAAAGAGAAACGAAGTTTCTGAAGAAATATTTATTTAAAAACATCAGTAATAAAAATGTCACAAACAGGGTGACGAAAAGAAAAGAAAGAATACCCAAATGATCTGCTTCAACAGAAGCTTAAATACAGATAATGGTTGACGTCATGATCCACGCAAGAACGACCAACAGCAAATGAAAATAAACTGGCCGATCCCCGCAGACCATGACGTCACCAACGCAAGTTGAGTGCATGAGATCGACGACCGAAAATCGAACCTCATACCTTTTAGCCTCTATTTGTCTAACACTTCCAAGTTGAATTCGTCATTGGAATCGTCAAATGCCGAGATGAGGCCCTTCATCGTATAGCGAGTGTAGAGTGCCTTAAAGGCACGAATGACACCTTGAACCATCGGCTGAATTAGAAATGTAGTGTTCGGAGGCAGAAACTCTATCTGCACACCATCATATTGCAGGTTAGCTGCATGGCCTCCTGCACAGTCCATCAGGAGAAGGACCTTAAACGTGAAGCCCTTTTCAGCCAGATACAGCTTCACCTGGGGGAATGAAGCAATGGAGAAACCATTTAGGGGTCAGAGCTTTCATTACCCAGGCCTTGGAGTTATGCATCCAGAACACGGGCAGAGCCGTATTTTTTTTTAATGCCCCATCTCTTCGTTTGAACATGCAGGGATCCTTCTCCCTCCCCTTAGCATAAACATGAAACAACGCTCCTTTCCGCAACGTGGCTGCTGACATGGTTGTATTTCTTCATTTTTATTTTTTGATGAACATTTTGGAAAAACCCGCAAAGCACTGAAGCCGCAAAACATGAAGCGCGAAGTGGCGAGTGAACATTGTAATGCAATCACACAAAAAAAAAAGATCAAAAGCTTATTGTCAGCAGTTAACTAGCAGCTGGCAAGAAAGTAACAACATTTATTAAAATATTTTAAAAAATTCCAACAGGATTAGCTAAAAAATAAATACAATTCTGAAAATAATTTTTTTTTTTATTTAAATCCCAGTTTATAATAAAAATAATTTCTGATTATTAATACACTCCTGTCTCAAATCACTACAGACCGAAATTGCGCCTTTACAGACCAAAATTCTGCTATGAAAAAAAATATTTTACTAAAAACCGAAAAGATTGAGAGATTTTTCCAATTCTCATAAAAATTTCATAATTATCCAAAAGCTTTAAACAAATTCTTTTCCTTTTCAGCAGAAAGAGTAGATTTGTTTGCATTGGAGATTTTCACGTAAGCATTGACGAAATAGGTGGCACATTTTGTTGCCATAAAAACACTAACACATCAGAATAAAAGATACCTACCATAACTGGGGCACAAAAGAAAACGAACTGCTCGATAGCAAAGCAAATCTGGTCATACAGAATTAATTTCAACTCTTCTCTTCTAGCTTTATCAATTTTTCTAGAAAAAGATATTTCCCAGGCATACAATTTTAGAATCTAAACAAAGATTAAAAATTTTCATTGTAAAAAATTAGAATCTTTCTTTTAAACACAAATATTAATTTTGGTATCAATAAATACAAAATATATAATCAATAATTGTAAATTAAGAAATAAAAAAAAACTTACCTTTATACCACTAAGAACTTCAGTCATATGCTTCAAACGTGTGTCTTTAAGCTTCATATATTTCTCCTGTCAACAGAATGAATTTAATTTATAAATAAACATAGTAAATTACAGTTTTTATGAAATAGTTTCTACCAGAACTACTTCAGTTAATCAAAATATTCGGATTATAGAGATTATCATAATTTTTTTAACCTATTCTTATTAACAAATTCTGGCTACCATGGCTTTTTCAAAGAATGGTGTTTTACAGTATATGAAACATAATTTGAAATGACACTTAATAAATTTACTTTTATCGACTAAGTTTAAAGACATTTTTTTTAAAAATTAATTACATAAGGATTTTTTTGCACATTGATAAAAAGAACTTAAAAATTAGAAGGAAAAAAGATAAATAAGGAGATAATGATTATAGAAAAAAAAAAGGAAATTCATGTGCAAATAAATTATGGCAGCACATTAGTAAAAAAGAAAGAACAAAAACTAAATACGACAGCAAAAAATTTTATCTATTTTGATTAACAAAAGTATTCAGATGAAAAAAGTTTGGATAATCAAGGCTAAACTGTATATGCTTAAAATCAATTACATAAGGATTTTTTTTCACATTCACAAAAAGAACTTAAAAATTAGAAGGAAAAAAGATAAATAAGGAGATAATGATCATAGAAAAAAAAGGAAATTTATGTGCAAATAAATTATGGCAGCACATTAGTAAAAAATAAGGAAAAAAAACTAAATACGAAAATATTGCAAGCATATAATACAGCAAAATATTGTATCTATTTTGATTAACAAAAGTATTCAGATAAAAAAAGTTAGGATAATCAAGGCTAAACTGTATGTAAAAATGTTAAAAAGGCTAAACTGTATGTAAAAAATGTTAAAAAGTATTCGATAAGAAAATTATGATAAACTTGTTTCCATATGATACATAATACTTACATTAAGTCTTGCACCAACTCTAGCTAAGCCAATACTAACAGGAAATAACAGAATTATAACTACAACACCAGACAAACTTGATGGTCCAATGTATTGATACATTATTCCGACAATCAATATTATTTTAATAGGACAAACAATACACATTGAAAGATTCCAAGTAAATTGGTAAACTCTTTCTGCATCAGTCGATAAAAGATTTGCTATGTTTCCACTTGTTAGCCCTTTTCTTGATACTGTTGATAACAATAAATTCTAAAAACAGAATGATATGAGTTAGCTTTAAAATTGTTTTCGACACATTTTTCAGCAAATAAAACAAAATTAATGAAATTACAATTTTAAAAAATTCTCTGCACAATTTGGTTTTTTAATAGTTACAAGTAGGACTGGGTGATATTAGAAATTATATATCGTGATGCATCGTCAGTTTTGCATCGCGATATAGTATTTTTGAATTTCATTTACTTGTAAGGCACAGAAAGTCAGATTTCTATCAAAACTTCATACTCAGATTGATTCAAATCAATTTATAAATTTGAAGATATATATGTTTTGCTTAAGAAAGATATTAAACAGATTGACTACAATGTACAAATCTTACTTAAAATATTTATTGAAATGTTTATTTAGAAATTCATAATACGCGTAAAACAAAGTGTTAAAAACTTTTTTTAAAGCGCTTTTGACAAATTAATATTTTCTCTTACTATTATGCATAAATAAGCACATAATTATTAAGTTTGATCGTAATGTTCAATTTCTAAATGAAACGTTAAAAATTATTTGTATGTTTGAAACAAAGTGCTAAATAAATTTTAGAAAAAAAAAACACTTTTAAAACACTATTTTTTATTATTATCATTTCAGTTATTATAGTTCTATTATAGTTCAGTTACGTCACACTAGAGCTGCACAATGGGCTATTGGCGACGGTCTGGGAAACATCCCTGAGGATGATCCGAAGACATGCCATCACAATTTTGATCCTCTGCAGAGGGGATGGCACCCCTGCTTCGGTAGCCCGACGACCTGCATGCGAAATCGAGCACTTTACGGTAGAACAGTTTAGCAAGGACCAATACAGCACACCCTCGGTCCCTACGCAGACTGATCCAAATGGTCACTCACCCGCACACTGACTGCAGCCAGTGATGCTTGACTTCGGTGATCGGCAGGGAACCGTGTCTTAACGATCAGTCCACTGCGGGACCTTATCATTTCAGATAAATAATTCAATTTAAATTAAATAATGACCGAATTATGAACGAAAAACAACGTAAGATTTAATTTCTTAAAAATAAAAAAAATTTCATTTTCGATAATATATTTAGCTAATTAACAAATAATATGAAAAGAATATTTTTTAAAAAAAATTATTATACTCTCTAATAAAACGAAGTGCAAAATGATTTTAAAAAATGAATAAAATACGCAAACCTTTCAAATTTTTTTGTATAAACAAAGTTGATTGACTTATGTCCAAATCCAAATGACAAAAATAAATTTTGTTTTAACTTTATTTCTAAAAATAAAAACAACAAAATTTATAAATTTAAAATCAGTAATAAAAACTCATTAAATTATTAAAAGTTTCACCCGAAAAGTTTTTAATAAATTAAAAGAAAGTAAAAAAATAACCTAACAAATTCAATTCTTTATGGGCGCCTAAATTAGATTGCCGATAATTTTCACATTTAAAAATAAAAAGAAGTTTTTTTTAAAAAAAAACTTATCTAATTAATGAAGAAACTCTTCTTTATATATTCTTTTCAATAATAGATTGCCTTCAGAACAAGGTAACATCGGCGATCACGAAGTTAGTCCCACTGAAAATAATCTACAAGAAAAGTCGCGACAAAGAAAAAAAAAGCTAAGAGGTGCGAAAAGGAACATGCGATATAACGATATGTGTTCTCAAAACTCTGATTCTGATTCTACAGCTCACCAATCAAGGCCATTTACACATAACGAAACGAACATCGTCTTCCACAGCGCGAGTCGACATCGGAACGTAAGAGAAGAGTCTTATATCGCTATATCGTTTTCTTATATCCTTGCCTGTCTTAGATCGCTATATCGTTTTGCGCTCGTTGTCTTTACTCGACTGCTTAAATCAGATTTCTGATGCATCGCCTTGAATGAAAGTCGCTGTATCGTCTTGCCGATATATGCGTTAAATCGATATGTCTCGATACATCGATTTATAGCCCAGTCCTAGTTACAAGATAAAAAAATAAGCAATTAAATTATGTGTGTATCCAAGGTTTATTGAAGGTTGCTAATATTCACTTAAAAATAAGTCTTTTTAATATAAAATATTCCTTCTAGCATTTTTTTTTAATGCTTGATATAAAACACAAAAAATAGAGCAGTTATATATATTATTCACAAGGTCCCCCATCAGGGGGGAAGGTGGGCTCACGATGCGCCCACTTATAGCTTGGGGGGGAATCTTTACACTAAATAAAACGAATAGTTTGGGGGGGAATTTAGACGAGATAATTATTTTGTTTTTAAGTACATAAATAAAAGAAGCAACGTAGCACTATTTCGAACAAGCTAACATGAAAGGGGGAAGTTAGCAAATTTTTTTTTGGGGGGGGATGAATGCGCCCAAGAGCTTGGGGGAGATGGGGGCCACTGATAAGGAATATTGTTTAGAAGCAAACCAATAATACACATTTTTTTTGTTTATTCCCAAAAACAAATGACAAAGTTGTTTACTTTTATAAAAAGAAAAAAAAAATCTATATTTGAGTTTTATTTTCAAACCATTTTAAATAATTTTAACATATAAACAATTAGCTATACAAAGAAAAAGATATAGTAAATATAATGAAAATAAAAATAATGCAATGGATCGGACGCCTGGAGCGAATGAGTGATGAAAGAGCAACAAAGGAAATCTATATGGGGAAAACTAGAAAAGAAGTGAAAGATAGGAATTACCAGAAAAGATGGCTGGATGTGGTAGAGGGAGATCTAAAAAAGATGAAAATCATAAAAAAGAAAGATAAAAACCAAGTACAGGAAAAAGAGGAGCCATGTGGTAAAGGAGGCCCCCTCATGGATGCCCGTAATGCCGAAGAATAAGTAAGCATAAACAAGTAAAATATAGAGTGAAATATTTAATTTCTGCATAAAATTTTAAAAAAGAAAATTAAAATAATGTGTCTTTTTGAAATTGTATAGACATGTTGATGTTTGAAATAAATAATAAATTATGTAAGTTGAATCTTAAACAGAGATGCAATAAAAAATGGCTTTACCTTCCTAAATATAGAATTCATTAGAGCTGACTTCATTTGTACCCCACAACTCATGAACAGATAAATAGCATTATTTTGTATAATTTTTCCAACAAAATCCACTGAAAATATTATCAAGGCATAAAAGTATCCTCTCCAGGGATAATCATCATGTTCCGCAAAATCAAGAATACGACTAAAAATTACAAATTTCTTTTTAATGAAAATAAATGTAATTAAGAAATACATCACATCATATTAGAAAAACATGCTTGACACTAGCCTGGCAATAACCTCATGTAGTGTCAAAGCTTGCAAACATTTCATTTCTTATATCTGATAACGTGATTGTTAAACTCTTAATTTGTGAATTTAGGTTTAAAACTTATTGGAATAATAATAAAAAAATTGAAAATTGTACTGATTCTAATGTGGAGCAATAATAAATTAATATGATAAAACATTTTAACGAAATAAAGATTAAAAAATTTATTCTAACTTATAATGGCCTTGATTCAACATCAACACAACTTTAAGATATAAAATATTATCAGTATTTTTACAACTTAAAAAGTTTATGCGATTTTTCGCAATATGAGCATTAGTATTTTCAGAAAGTCAACAACCAAAAAGGAATCGAAATTAATAATGAAATCAATTTAATCAAAGTTAAAATATTTCTTTTTTAAATTAATTGATAAAGGGTCATTATTAATTGCCAAAATCTGATATAATATGCCATAAAGCTTTTAAAATTACATTGCTCCACATGCCTGGCCATGTGAAAATTCCAATCAGGCATTCACCTGATACCTTTACAAATTACATTGCTCCAAATCAGGCATTCATCCGATACCTTTAAAATAACATTGCTCCACATGCCTGGGCATGTGAAAATTCCAATCAGGCATTCACCTGATACCCTAATATGCTAATCCAGGCATTTAAATATTCAAACAGAAATACTTTCAAATAACAAATAAGCACTTCTCGAACTTTGACAAAAAATTGCTAAGATGTTGGGCGAGGTAAATAAATGGCAACAAAGGGTAGGGGAAACATTCATTATGACCTATAACACTTGAATATTATTGAATTTAATAATTAAATAAGAATTTATTAAACAATTTTAGATTTTTTTTTCCTTTGTTTACCTACATTTTTTTAAAACGAAGTTTAACCCTATTGCTACACACAAGAAAATAATTATAAAAGTTTATAACATCACTTTGAAGGAATATGTTGAAGTGCATGCACTTGTCTATAGAATTTAATAATTCTGATAATATCACTTCTTTTTTAATAAGAATGCTCTCTGCCTTAACTCTATCAAGGATAATTCTAGTTTGATATTTGTACTACTTACCATTTCTGATTTAAATTTAAAATGAAATTGCTGATGTAGATGATGCTTAACATATTTTTTGAAAGGTTAATAATAGGTACATTCATATGTTGTTGTTTTTTTTTTTAATAATATGAAATAGAAAAAAATGTTTGGTAATATACTTGCTTGAGCATGTAAACATTTTGTGATTTTTTCAAGAATTCATATGCTTTCTTTAACATGAAACCAAAAAACATTTTCGGGCATGCATTTTGTAGACAAACATGCCTGTCTGGTCATGTAATTTTGAGAATTTTTCGCCTCCCAATGTAATGACCCGGGTTCAAATCCACACAGTAGCTGGTTAATATGATTTCTGCTCCCGGTTAACATCAATTACTGTGTTAGAATGTATAATATCCTCAATGGTAGATGGATCATGGGTTAAATTTCCCTTGCTGTCAGGCTAACCCGGTGAAATTTTTATGGTTTTCCTCTCCCTGTAACCCAAATGTGGGTCAATTCAAATACAAAAATCCTCCACAAAAAACTAGCTAGTCTCGATCCTTGATTCAAGAGTTCCCTTGTCTTCTGGATTGGGTTCTAAATTGCAAGGCTACAGAATTACATATTGATAGTCTTAAATTCTGAATTGGGTTAGCTGTTCAACGTTGGTTATAAAATAAAATAAAAACATGCTTGTCTGAGCGTGTTAAAATATTTAAATCTTTGAGCACTGGTGTATAATTACAAAATTATAAATTTAAAAAAAAAAATTATAGTATTTTAAACTTCAATTTTTTTTTCTTTTGACTGGCTGAAATTTTACAAAAACTAAAAATAAATACTTATTAAAGGTTAAAAATAATAACTTACTCTAATAAAAGAGGTGGCAGCAGAAGAGTTATAATAAATAGAAAATCACAAATTAGTGAAATAGTAACCCATGGCCAGAAGGATTTTACCAAAGCCCACATAAGATTATGAGATTTTAGTAATTCAGGATAACTGTAAAAAATAATAACAAAATGTAACACTTTAAAAACCAATCTAAAATCAACTTTACCAAATGTATAAAAAATGTTAAAATAAAATGTTTAAAAAAATTATATTTTTTAAATTAGACTAAAAAAAATATTTTTTCTTTTACCTAACACACCTAAAATGAAAAACAAAGGTTATGTCATTTTTGAAAAATATGAAGTTTCAGCGTTGATAGAAGTACATTACACAAATCAGTAACTCCATTTTTTCAGTTTTTGGTTTGTTTTTTTTTAATTTTCTTTAAGTATATTGTCATAAATGGATTGAAATTAAATGATTTTGCTTGCATTTATTGACTTTTACTTGCATTTATTTGATATTTTTTTATTCTCACAATATCTGTTAAGCATTTGTCATAATCATTTACATCTGAAACTAAAAATTGTCATCCTTTTTTTATTCTGTTTTGAATTTTGTAGTTTTTTAAAGAAAAGGTTTTTGAAAAATAACAGTGGAATTCAGTGTTTAATTCTCAAATTTTAATAGAAATGTTAAATTTCTCTAAGGAGTTTTTTTTCAATAAAACTTTAATTAGATTCAGCAATAAATATTTTTTCTACATTTGTTTGCCACGGAAAGTTACTGGGAGTCCCAAAAATAACTGACGATACGAAAAATCTATTTAAAAATATAAGGAAATAGAAATGCACCACTTGCTGTCTTCTGCTTAGGTAACAAAGTTTTTTCCCCAACCTTTAAAATTAGTTACCAGTTTTGTAAACAGAAGGTTTTGATAACTAAGAAAAATTGCAATAAAATGCTTTTAAAAATAACCACCATTTTGTAGCAACAATGTAGTTCAGTCTGAGAACAAAACTGACAGATACACATACGAATATTTATTACTATAAAATATTCGTATTGACACATACAAATATTTGTATTGTCAAGCAACAGATAAAATCATTTTACAAATTTTCCAGACAACACTGCAGTAAACTTGATAGTGGGCCATTTTTAAACTCCTTGCATTTATGCAATTAAAGAGCAAGGTGGGAATAAATTGAACTAGAGGAGGTTACCTGAAATTTTATAGAACTATAAGAGGAACAAAGCCATCTATGAAACAATAACATCCTTTTTCACAAAAAAACCATTTTATATGCATTGGACCAAATTAATTATTGTTTTATAGTTAGAGCCGACCACAATAAATCTGAGATGAGCATACACATGGTATTTCCATTTAAATGAATATACAGAAAAAAATATTTTATTATAAGAGTTAGATTAATACTGATTTGAATCACTAAAACTATTTTTATATAAAACTGAACTTAAAAACAACTGATTAAATACCTTTAAAAATTTTCGAATTTTGTACTACTTGTGGTTTAAAATTTTGCCAAAAAAAGGACAGAGTGGCATATGACAGTTCAGAGTTATTAAAAACGTTGCCTTATCCAAGAAGAAAAAAACTGCTTTTTCCTTATTAAAGAATATTTTGGGCATCATTGTATAATTTTGTAATCTTATAATTTCCCAATTTAATGAACAAAATTGGAGATCTAAGTCCTGAATTTAACAATGAGGGGTTTTTTTCTTTGAGGTTTTTTAAAATTTATGCCAATAAACCTACAATGTTTTTAATAGTTATAGCAACAAAATTCAATCACATTTCTTGGTTATTAAAAATTTACTAAAAGTACATGTTACAGCAAAGCATCCCTCTTCAATACAAGATATGCTGGTCCATTAACAGCCCTGTACTTTATAAATCAATAAAAATTTAAAAGTTTTATTAAAAATCTTCATTTTTTATAAAAATTGTTGCTAGAATTTTGGACACCCTGCAAAGCCAATTAAATAATTAATAACATTAATTTCAAAATAAAAAAACACTTTATATACATATTAATGTTAAATATATATTTCAATGATTAACTGTCAATATATACAGAATGAAAGCTCACACACTTACTGATAAAAGTTCCAATGATTTGTAAATGCATTATAACAATACTTTGTGGTAAGTCTGATACTAATTAATCCAAGATCACAAACTGACAGAAATTTCTGTGTACTTAAATAAATATACCTGAAAATAAAATATATATATATAAGTTATGTAAATATTACAACAGAGGAAAATGTATTTATTATAAAACGAACAATTTTTACATACTTGTTAAACCATGCAAATGAGAGGAATGAAAATATGGATACATCATCAATAACTTTACTGGGCTATAAATATATGCAAAATAAATTTATATAATAACATCTACAGTTATTCAGATTAAATAAATTTTCAGGTAAATAAATTAAGTCGGAAGCAAAGTTGAACAAACATTTTTGAATGAAACATTTTATTGCAAAATGTAATAAAATAAATAAAATGTATAACTTATGAATACTAAATTAAGCAAAGCAATTAAGCGAGGACTATAAAAAAACAAATAAACATTTAAACAGAGAAATTTAACTTTTTGTTTAATTAGTCTTATTTCAATTAGTTTCATATAAAATGATTTGACTCCATTAAATTTTATTATGAGCGGGTTATAGGATTATCCAATATGCAATTAAGAGAGGAGAACTGCAATAATTTACTGCAATTTTCAGGATTTTAACAAGAGGCTAAATTTAATGCTAGTAAATGAACAGGTCAGAAAATGCAGCATTCTTAAAAGTTTCAAATTATTTTGGAGTAATGGGAGGTTAGTAACATTAGAATTTAATTGCATTTTTGACAGTGGACAATACAGCTTTATGGATTAGTACATTACTCCTCTTCTGAAGTTGCATTTTTGACAGTGGACAATACAGCTTTATGGATTAGTACATTAGTCCTATTCTGAAGTAAATAGTGTGGTATTAAATTATATAAAGCTATTAACTTTTTATATTTTATTTAGTTACTTACTAATAACTTGTTATGGCCTTGTATAGAAACAACACCAACAATTATTAAATAATATAAAATAATTAAAACTCTGTTAGTACATAACAATAAATTTGAAGTTAAACAGAAATGTAATGAAAAATAAATGTTATACCTGTAAAGAATTTAAACTTTTTTCATCAGCAAAAACAGATAAAATCAACTGCACATATATAAATGGGTACACAATCATACTCAAAACAAAGACAGTTTCTGATGTAGGTTTTAAATCCTGTAACATACATACATGTATAAAGAAATTTATTAACATATCAATGAAAACAGTTACAATAACAACCTTGTCAAAAAATAAAAGACGGAGAGAAAAAACTCAGTGAAAATTAATACGTTGAAAACATAAAAATTATCTTACTACATTATAATGCAATATATAGTTGAAATAACTTACTAAAACAAAATAGTTCAATATTGCAGATCTATGGAGAATTAAACTTATTAATGAGAAACACAACCAAAATATCGACAGCAAGTATGATGTAGTGACACCAGATGTTCTATGCCTCAATAAAATTACAGTAGTTGTAATCTGTAAAATGTAACAAATTTAATCAAAAATGCACTGAATAAAAATGCAATAATTAATAAATAAATAAAAATTCTTACAAATAAAATAACCCTTGAACATGATGATAATATAACAGAGTGAGGTACATTGAATGTTGTGACTTTCTGGCATATGACAATGCCACACCACATAATACTCAGTATTAGTAAACTTAGAGATAAAACCTAAAAAAATATAAACATATACGTGAGAATGTTTTTTTTTAAAAATTGTGATGAATTGAATTATAAAATATACATTCATAAATAACAAAAAACTTGTAGACTTCTTAAACCATTAGTCTTGATAGCCACACTCGTAACATCATACCTCATTTGTCATAGCGTGACTGTCAGATTTTCTTTATTTACTTTTTATAAGAATATGGTTAATAATGCATTTTTTCAACGGTAAGGAAACATTTTACATCAGTAATAAAAGTTATAGTGAAAATAAAATTTGTAAGTCACTTTTCAAAAAATCTGTGAATAATGATTTTAATTGGTGCTAATCTAACGTAATATTCATGTAAAATTTGAAACTGTGATTATAATTCAAAAATGCTTTTCTATTAATTATTCATAGTTACGATTAATTATTCATTTAAAAATAATGTAGAGTTTTTAAAGGAATGCAATTATTTCAAGAATAAAATTTGTTTATGTGTTAAAAAAAAGTTTACAAGTCAATGTAAAGGCTACTTAACAAGCTTTATTAAATTTTTACATGCATATTTAAAAATACAATATTTTTCCATACAATCCATATAAATATACATTTTTCATTGCTCAATTAAAAAATTATACTAATTAAAAATCAATTAAAAGTATTACAGACATACACACACAAACAATTTAACAAAAATGCAGATATAAGTGTTTCTAGCTTTGCCAGAGCCCAAGGTCAAGAAAACTGCACAACTGAGTTTTAGTTAGCTTTGAAATTTAATTCACATACAAGATTTAAGAAAAGCACTGAATATTGATACTTAGCTTACTTTTATCTCTTTTTAACATATAAAAAAAAACATTTAAAGCTGCTTGTTTTCTAATTTATAACTGTATGTGAAATGTTGTATATTATGTTACTTCAAAAAATATACTATTTTACAAGTATTTATACACACCTTTTTTGCTTTAATTATTTGAATAAATTGTTCTTTATTAAATCAAGTGATTAAATTCAAAATTTTTATTTGCCTTGTAAACATACACATTATATGTTAGTAAAGAAAGTGATTTTATGACTTTTTTAACTTTCAAACTGTATTTTAGTGAACATAAGCGCATGTGTTAACTACAAAAAATTATAAAAATGAAAAACACTCTTTTTTTTTCACTTAAACAATTTCTCTTTTATCTTACTATTTTTTTCTTTTTTAATTTTTCATTATTTAAAAGAAAAAGTAAAAGAGCTTTGATGTTTTGTCCTTTCACAGAATGCACTTAAAATATTATAAAATATAAATATTTTCTGATATAAACAATAGAATAATACTTTATAAATAAATCATAAAATTAAAAACAATAAAAAATTTCTTAATAATCAATTTGAAACAGAACAAGAGGAAGTGGATAATAAGGCTTCCAGTTACTAATCCAATTTTTTTCAGTAGATCGATATATCCCTTCACTAGTAATATTTTATACAATCAAACAATTTAAATATTTGAACAAAAAAACAACACACAAATATATGCAATAAAGATGGTATTTAAAATAATTCTTGTTAAAAAAAAATAAACATCAATGTAAAAAAAATTACCAGTTTTGAAATATTCAACCATGTCCATGGTAGATATCTTTGAGATCTTTGGTAGATATCTTTGGAAGTAAAATAATATTAATAAAAAATATAAAACTAAACATCAAAGATGGAGCAGAAACCAATGCTGTGTCTTGAAAACATTGTGAGAAATCTGGGATTTCACTATACCAAGTCTTGTTAAGATCCTTGAAAAACAAAAAATGAGTATTTTAAATTAAATAACAAATAAATAAAATAAGTCAGACCAAAGAAAACACACAAAACTGAACCATAGTACAAAATTTTCTGTGGCCCTTCCTGCAGAAAGTCTTATTTTCATATTTTGTAGAATTTTTGAATAGAATTTATCAAAATTGTAGGTTTCAGGCTAAGCATTATACATAAAGGAATTCTTGTAAATTATGTTTTTAGAAAATTCAGGAAAAAATGTTTAATTTTTTAAGGATATTTGACAGGGTCTACAGCCCTGGGTAATGTTCCTGTCTCCCTCCTTTGAGTATGGCTTTGAAATCAAATGATAGCAAAATGCTTCACTTATATATATTAATTATACCTATTATTTTACAAGAATAATTTTTTTATAATTTAAATTAATTTAATCAATTCCTTTAAATTCATTCACTTAATTTGTAAAAATAATCATAAATAAAAATACATAGAAAAGATGATTTTTCACAACAAAATAATAATTATACCTAACATATAACACAAGGGATTAACCAAATAATAGATTTTCAGAATTTTTTCAAATTTGCTTACAAAAAAAAAATAATAATAATAATACTGAATTAAAAATGTTTTAGAAAAAAATAATTGCTTTTAAATATCATACCATTCTTCTAAGTAATGTATCCAACAAAAATTGTTTGCTAGCTGTACAAAATGTAAGGGCTAATTTTAATATAATTTTCATAAAAAATATAAATACAAATAGAGATTATACAGACTTTTAAGGGGAAAAAAGTCTTAAAAACATTTATCTATTTTTAATTCTTCTTGACACTGAAATATCAATTAATAATCAGAATATGAATTTCGATTATGATTGCAAATTCAGTTCTCGTTTGAAATTATTAAAAAATATCTAATGATATTTTTTATTTGATTTTATGCAACGATACATATCAGCAGTTAAAACATTAAAAAAAAGACATTACCGGATAATCTTAACAAAAACATCAGAAAACATGGTAGATTTAAATAATAATTATAATATTAATTGAATCGGAAAATTTTAATCATAACACATAAATAAAAAATATTCACTTGACTAACCCAGAATTTATCATCACAAAAGTTTCCATTCATAACGATCCTTGTTTTAAAAATATAGCATATTCTAACCTTCCTCAGGCGGAAATTCGTTACTGAAATAGGAGAAAAACATGCAGCTTTGTTATACTTTCGTCATTGTCAATCAAATTCAGTAATTCAAGCGAAAATTGCGCATGTGCAGAAACAAAAAAGGGGATGATTTACTTATTTTTGTGTTGAGATAATTTCGGGGAGTTAAATTAAAAATATGAATGAAAAAACATGCACGGAAAAACGAAGGAAGGAAAAACAAAGAAAAGTAAACATCAAGACGTCACCATGGTTACAAAATATGGTGAAAGTTGAGTTGCATAACATTTAACAAATATCTAATACAAATATCTTTCTGCGCCATCTTCGCTTAAATTCAATAAGCACATAAAAGATGCTCGAGCACACAAAAATGTGCAAACGGATTGTGCAAAGTTGTGCAATCCCGCTTTCTCACTTAAAATTGCTCTACCAAATTATGACAAACAGGCATAGGGTTCCTCTATAAACCTTCAATTGCGAACTGACTCCCGAAGAGGTGGATCACACCGTATATTTTGCAGGTGGAGAAAAGTAAGGAATGCGAGCCAGCATTTTTCGTGATGTTGTTGTTGTTGTTAATTTACGTCGCACTAGAGCTGCACAATGGGCTATTGGCGACGGTCTGGGAAACATCACGGGGGATGATCCGAAGACATGCCATCACAATTTTGATCCTCTGCGGAGGGGATGGCACCCTCACTTCGGTAGCTCGACGACCTATTTAATCTTTAAGAACTTTTGTTGAAATTAATTAGAAAAGTAACTGTACAAATGTCCTTTGAAGGAAGAAACGAAATTGCACTACCTAAGTACAGAGATAANCGGTGATCTGCTGGGAACCGTGTCTTAACGATCAGTCCACTGCGGGACGCATTTTTCTTGAAACAAATACAGTGGAGAAAATTTATTTTCGATTTTAAAATTTAGAAATCTAAAATAAAATGTTATCTTTCTAATAACGAAAGGCATTTTAAAGTATTTCGACGCTTCGAGTTTGTCATACTTAGTATAATTGCTTAAATTATTTTATTCATTCATTTTTCTTCAATAATTGCGAGTATTTATTAATTTATTTTATTTTATTTCACTTATTTAATTTTTATTTTTTTAATTATTATTTATTTATTTATTTCTTTTCACTGGTTACGAATCTTGCACAATTTAGATTTTATTTTATTTTATAACCGTCGTTGAACCGTCGTCAAAGATTATATTAAAAAAAATTCTGGGAGGGGGGGGGGCATTATATAAATTTCATTCGATTTTGGTACAAAGCAGATGATACAGGTCAATACCGTGAAATCGCCCTGTTCGTTTTTAGAAGTGAAATTATCTAGATATTATCTAGAACAGAGGTTTCCAACTGGCGGCCCGGGGGCCGCATCCAGCCCGCGAAGCCTTTTTTTGTGGCCCGCGAACTAAAATATATTAGTTGTCATTTTTTTTGTGTGGATTTAATAGAAACCCAAATTCTTCGTTTCTGTGAAATTTAACATACCAACTTTGCAAAAAAATTTATTTCTCGGGTTTTGCATCTAAGAAAATATTTATTCAAATATACAAAAATAATCGTGTATGTTGCTCATTTTCATTTCATTTTTTTGTATTTTGTGAATATAATTCAGCGTGTGTGTGTCAGAAATTTTCTCGAAGAAATTCTCTAATTTAAGTTTTTCAAACCACACATTTTGGACGAAAATATTTACACACACATTTGTAAATTTTAAATGTAAATATCTATTCTCTGGTGGTTGCAGCAGACAAACCTCAATTTTCTCATTGAACATTTTGTGTAGTGCTATGTATGTTATAATACCAACCTTTTTAAAGTTTTATATCTTAACAATTAGATATCTGTTGCACATCAATTGTTTAATACATAGGTGCATATTAAAGTTATTGTAGCCCGAATTTTTATTATTCATTTAATATTTTTAAAATATTATTAGTAACAATTAAGCATTTTTAAAAATCTATTTATTTTAATTTGTAATTCAATACTTTTGTTTTGTACAACTTGATAAAAATCTGACAGCAATAGTTAATGTTCCTACAAACATAAGAGCCCTACATAAAATTTTGATAAAGTTGAGGCCCGCCATTTGATTTGCGTTTTTAATTCTGGCCCCCGGCCTCATGTAAGTTGGAAACCCCTGATCTAAAAGAAGAAGGGAAAGAAAAAAACATATAGGCGGACGTTAAAAAAATTTTAATAAATTTCTTAGAAAAATTCTCACACAAAATATAAGTTAAGTTTAAAATCGTCAAATGTTTATATCAAATATTTAGTACATCATTACCTATCAAAAATCAATTTTGTTTTTAAAAAACTGATAATGATAAGTTCAAATTTAATGGATTATATTGGTGGTATCGGACGCACATCACACAAAAGTAAAAAATGATTACTCATTTAGAAACTGTTTAACTCTGTGAATTTGTTCATAGTTTAAATGTAAATTTGACCGAATTTTGAAGCTGACATTTGAACAGAAAATTCCAGTCAGTTCTTAACCAGTAAAATATGATGCGTAATTGATCTGAAATTTTTTTATTTTGGTATCGTACGTAAAGTTTTTTCTGTCGGACGTAAATTCTTCTGGTAGTTTATAAATTTAAGTTAATGATAACAATTATAAACATTGAAAATTAATTTTTATCTTAATATACTGTAAATATTATTTTTTTTCCATTAAATAGCTTTTTTAAAATTAAAATGTCCTCTATTTCTTATTGGAATAGGTGGATCAATGTGTTATATAACATTTTCCATCTTGTAAAGTTAGTTGAAAAATCTCTAATTATAATTTTAGCTGTGCAACGTATATTAACAACAATATAAATACAACTCATGATTAAGCAATATTTCCTTAAAAATAATTTAAAAATTCTGAAATAAAAAAAAACATTTATGACTGTTGTTTTATAAAAAAATTTGGGAAAAATTAGAAAAAATTTAGAAAATGCTTACAATTTTTAAAAGCAATAAAAAAAAATCTATTGAAAATGCGTTACAATGTTTTAAAAGAAAAAAAAATATTTTACAATATTATCAGTCTAGAAACTAATAAAAGTTATTGAACTAATAAAAACAATTCAAACTAATAAAATTTATAAAATTAGTAAGAATTTTGCAAATTTATGTGAGTCAAACGTTCGCTATTATTCTTCAGTTATTTTGTGTTATGCCATAATTTGTATAAAATCCACTACCATTAACAAAATTTTTAATTAAAGTATAAATGCTTACATGACTTTTTTTCTCAAATGAATTAAGTAGACAATGATTACAAGTACTTTTAAAAGCAACTTAGCTTACCATACCATACTAGTTTTTTTCTCTCCCCCCCCCCAAAAAAAAAATCTGAGAAAAAACCAATTAATGAATTTAAGTTTACTTTTAGTCAACACGTTATAAACTACGAAGGTCAAGGTGAATAGTGTATGCTTCTTCAATAAGTTATATAAGTTCTAAGTCATAGGGGAAAAAAACTGCATCAGCTGTAAAGAAAATGTAGGTGAAATTGTTTTAATAATATAGAATACAGATTTAAAGGAAATACGAAAACAATATGAACCTGTCTCTTTTGTCACGAAACCGTGAAAAAGGTTACCATGTTTCTTTTTATTAATAGTAGACCTAACATTTGACAGATTTAAAAGAAGAAGAAAAAAGGAAAAAGAAGAAAAAAACGAAAGAGAAAACGCAACTAATGCATTAAATTAGTCCTTTGTATACGTATGACAGGAAGTGTGTTAAACACAGGTTTGATCAGAAAAAAAAATTTATTACTTTTATTATTATTATTATTAATAGAAGTTTGTGCATCAGTTGAAGATTGATTTGCAAGAGATTCTATTTCTATCGGTTTTCCAGAATTGTTTCGTTCTGAAAAGTTTTTTTTTTTTAAACGGTACCGAAATTGAGAAAAATATAGGTGTGGAAAATAATTCGTTTCTATAAAAAAAAAATTCTCTCGCTATGAAGTAAATATATGTAGCTGCAAAAAAAAAACCTGGGATTGTTCTTGAAATGTTAAGTTAAAGCTATATTTAAGCATTTTTTCAGTAGCCTTGAAAAGTTAGGTACCATTTTGAGATTTTTCCTTGGTAGTAGCAACCCTGTTTTTGACTCAAAAAACTAAAGATGAGTTTCAAATTCAAAATAGTTATCTGCCGATACTAAAACTACGTGGAAATTAAAATAAATTAATAACTAAAAAGTTTATTGACACGAAAATGACTTAAGATTTTTAAAGGTAACAAATGAATTTAAAAAAATTATAAAAAGATTTTTTTTTTAACTGTAACCTAAAAAAAATGAACATCTTGAATAGCTTTCGATCTAAATATTATATTTTCACGTAGTATTTCGTATTTACTCAATCATTATGATTTAAGAGTTAACCTTAAGTATGTTAATTAATTCGTGTAGATGTAATTCTAAGTTACAAAATTAAACACAAAAACTTCTGAAAAAATCTTTTTGTCAACGTTCTTGAACTTCAGCACATAGTGAGTTTTATTTTATAGAAATTACATACATTTGCTGACTTGTGTGCTCAATATTGGCTTATAAGTCATTGTCAAGTAGAAAATACAGATAGAACAATTCAGAGGAAGACATCATAAAGAATACATCCAGGGTTACGGCGGGATTCGAACCCGCTACCTCCACGCTTAACAGAGCGTTTGGACCGGCGATACCGCTCTGCCAGGGAGCCGCCACAATACTCCCCCACCAGAATTTTATCAGGGATAGAATTCGATTAACGGATGCCACTAGTTGCTGTACTTGTGAAAGACCGGGAGAGCTGGATTAAGATCACCGGGGTTTCGAGTTCTGAATGTGAGAGGTGTAGTAACTTCACGGTCGTAGTCGCTCCTGTGTTTCATTTGGCAGTCGAGTGTATGCAGGCTGACGTTGTGTGTGATCGAGACGAGGCTGAGCAGCAACAGCGTGAGGAGGTGGATAATGTCGTAGTCACAAGTAGCAAGTCAACTGTTCAATGTGGACCATCCATCAAAGTAGGCGTTACCCGATCGAAGTGGGCGTTACTGTAAAGATATGCGTGATCATATCACGTCCGGGTCACCAATGTGGGGGGGGCGGAGTTATCGACAATGCCAACCTTCATCTATCAAAAGGTACCTCGAGATTGAATCAAGTTAGCATGTCTTATATACCAGTGTGTATTTTACGTATTTTACGTTTTAACGAATTTTTACTATGCATTTCTGAAGCTGTCAACTAAGCCGTTCCGGATACCTTGCGAAAAGTTTTCACCCTATAGGTTACGGGTAACCAGTAAAATTTAATTTACCCGGTTGGTTCCGGGTATCCGGTAAAATTTGAATTAACTGCCCGACAGGTTCCAAGTTCCGGCCCTGGTATTATAACATTCGTGTAAAATATTATGAGATTCATATTATTTTCTGTGGAACAAATAATTTGCTGGATAGTGTTCTAAGGATATTTATTGCGCGCACGAAAAAATAGAAACGCATTATTTTTAGATTTTTTAAAACTAAG